GCTGTGCCAGGGCAGAGTCAGGGCTGTGCCAGGGCTGAGCCAGGGCTGTGCTAGAGCTGTGCTACGTCTGTGCCAGGGCCGAGTCAGGGCTGAGCCAGGGCTGTGCCAGGGCAGAGTCAGGACTGAGCCAGGGCTGAGCCAGGGCTGAGCCAGGGCTGTGCCAGGGCTGTGCTAGAGCTGTGCTACGTCTGTGCCAGGGCCGAGTCAGGGCTGAGCCAGGGCTGAGCCAGGGCTGTGCCAGGGCAGAGTCAGGGCTGAGCCAGGGCTGTGCCAGGGCTGAGCCAGGGCTGTGCTGGAGCTGTGCTACGTCTGTGCTGGGGCCAAGTCAGGGCTGTGCCAGGGCCAAGTCAGAGCTGTGCCAGGGCCGTGCCAGGGTTGTACCAGAGCTTGGCCAGAGCTGGACCTGGGCTGCCCCAGAGCTACACCAGGGCTCAGCTGGGACTGGGTTAGGTTTGCGCTGGGGCTGGTGCTGGGAGCCAGAAATTCCTAGGCAGTTGGCAGGGACCTGCCTCCTAGAGTCCTCACCCACTGCATGCCATGTCTGCCCTGGCAGGCAGCTGGGATGGGGCTGAGCAGGGCCTTACCCAGGCACTCCCACACAGGTCACGGTGTGCTGCATGCCCACTGCTAGGCCCAAAGCTACCCCACAGCATCGCCCCTGTGAGCAACCCTGGATTCCCTGCCACATGTGGAAGATGACACAGCTCAGGATGGGCGCAGTCCCTGCCCAGCCACTGTCCACAGTAGCATCCTTGCTAACAGCGTTTCTGGTTCTGGATCACCATGTGCCCAAGTTCTCATGTCTCCAGGTCACTGTGTGTGAGGGTGGCACGTGTCCAGGTCACTGTGTGTGTGAGGGTCACCGTGTGTCAGGGTGCTGCGGGTCCAGGTCACTGTGTGTGTGTGTGTGAGGGTCACCGTGTGTCAGGGTGCTGCGGGTCCAGGTCACTGTGTGTGTGTATGTGTGTGTGTGAGGGTGGCACGTGTCCAGGTCACTGTGTGTGTGAGGGTCACCGTGTGTCAGGGTGCTGCGGGTCCAGGTCACTGTGTGTGTGTGTGTGTGTGTGAGGGTCACCGTGTGTCACGGTGCTGCAGGTCCAGGTCACTGTGTGTGTGAGGGTCACCGTGTGTCAGGGTGCTGCGGGTCCAGGTCACTGTGTGTGTGTGTGTGTGTGTGTGTATGTGTGTGTGTGAGGGTGGCGTGTGTCCAGGTCACTGTGTGTGTGAGGGTCACCGTGTGTCAGGGTGCTGCGGGTCCAGGTCACTGTGTGTGTGTGTGTGTGTATGTGTGTGTGTGAGGGTGGCGTGTGTCCAGGTCACTGTGTGTGTGAGGGTCACCGTGTGTCAGGGTGCTGCGGGTCCAGGTCACTGTGTGTGTGTATGTGTGTGTGTGAGGGTGGCACGTGTCCAGGTCACTGTGTGTGTGAGGGTCACCGTGTGTCAGGGTGCTGCGGGTCCAGGACACTGTGTGTGTGTGTGTGTGTGTGAGGGTCACCGTGTGTCACGGTGCTGCAGGTCCAGGTCACTGTGTGTGTGAGGGTCACCGTGTGTCAGGGTGCTGCGGGTCCAGGTCACTGTGTGTGTGTGTGTGTGTGTGTGTATGTGTGTGTGTGAGGGTGGCGTGTGTCCAGGTCACTGTGTGTGTGAGGGTCACCGTGTGTCAGGGTGCTGCGGGTCCAGGTCACTGTGTGTGTGTGTGTGTGTATGTGTGTGTGTGAGGGTGGCGTGTGTCCAGGTCACTGTGTGTGTGAGGGTCACCGTGTGTCAGGGTGCTGCGGGTCCAGGTCACTGTGTGTGTGTGTGTGTGTGTGTGTATGTGTGTGTGTCAGGGTGGCACGTGTCCAGGTCACTGTGTGTGTGTGTGTATGTGTGTGTGTGAGGGTGGCGTGTGTCCAGGTCACTGTGTGTGTGAGGGTCACCGTGTGTCAGGGTGCTGCGGGTCCAGGTCACTGTGTGTGTGTGTGTGTGTGTGTGTGTGTGTGAGGGTGGCATGTGTCCAGGTCACTGTGTGTGTGTGAGGGTGGCGTGTGTCCAGGTCACTGTGTGTGTGTGAGGGTCACCGTGTGTCCGGGTGCCACATGTCTAGGTCTCCGTGTGTGTGTTTGACCCCTGCAGAGAAGCGGTTCTCTGTGGCCTGCCTTTGTCCATCTTGTCCTCTTGACCTTGCCACTGGTCTGCCAGCCTTCTCCTGCCCACTCCTGTCCTATGAGCCCAGCACCAGGTCTGTTCTCACAGTGCCACACACCTCCCTCCTCAGAGCCCGTGGTGGCCTAGGCCCGGCCAGGCACCTCTCCCGCCCATAACTGTGGCACCCTGGCCCTCTGTGCTAAGGGGATGCTGTCGCCCCCTGTCTTCTGCTTTTCTTCCCTGCTGGCCCCCAAGGGAACCAGGGGCCCCTCTTTGCTTCCCCAGTGGCTCCCAGTTTGGGGACTTGTGGGCAGGGACACGCAGCCCTCGCCCACTAGCCTCCTGGCCAAGCCAGGCTTGCTTGGTGCCACCCTTCACTACACACCCACTGCCTGCAGGAGCATACACGGTGCATGGCGCATCCGCCTGGGCTGGGCGAAGGCCCCTGTGGGGCAACGAGCCTACGTCACCCCCCGCCCCCGGAGGAACTGACCGAGAACCGGAAGCACCAGGCCTCACGGTGGGGCCTGCTGTCTTCCTGCAAGACCGCACAGCCCGCCTGGGGAGCGACAGTAGAAGCCACCTCCAACCAGGCCGGGACCCACGGAGCTGAGCGTGAGTGCAGGGGCCCCTCCGTGTCCTGGGCAGCCTCCGGGGCAGCTGCCACAGCCCGCGCAAGAAGTCCCTCCAGGGATGTGCCTGTGGCCCTGGCGTGTCCCAGACATCCATTCCAAGTCCCCCTTTTCTGAGCTGTGGTGCAGGCAGAGGCTGTGTCCCCCACGCCCTGAAGCCAGAGCCACAGGGAGCAGTTGCTGGGCCCCTGGTTCCAGGCCAGGGTCTCCCAGCAAGCCAGGTGCTGGTGATTCTCCGGCATTTGCGAGCCACAAGGCCCACAGAGCCAGGAGGAGGCTCAGGTGAGGGTTGGAAGACCCGAGCCGGGGGTGCTGGGCAGGGCCACCGCCAGCAGTGCAGGGGGCCTGAGGCCTACGTGGGACAGTTGCACAGCCTTTTCTGGGTGTCTGTGAGGTGTTCAAGTCTGTATGATGTGTGTGATATACATTGTGAGTGAAACATGCGGTACGTGTGTCTGTGGTGACACTGCAGTCCCCTGAAGGCAGTGGGTGCAGAGGGCTGTGCGACCCTGCTCCTGGTGGATGTGGGGGTGCTACACAGCCACAGGTTCAGGGCCGGCCTCCCCTCATACCTGTCGGCTCTGACAGGAGGGGTCCCCGAGGGCCAGCCCCCACCCTTGCTGGGCTGACCCTGTACCCACAGCGCAGACGCCTCCTGGCTTCTTGGCAGGGATGTGGGCAGCTGGTGGTCTTGCAAGAGGTGTCACATGAGCAGTGTTCAGCAAGGGGAACTGTTGTCACAGGGATGTTTGCTGCAGGCAGAGACCCCAGATCAGGAGCCGTGTGCTGGTGGTGAGGATCGCCGAGCCGGCCTCCGGTACTGGGGGTGAGGGGGGCCGAGCCGGCCTCCGGAACTGGAGGTGAGGGGGGCCGAGCTGGCCTCTGGTACTGGGGGTGAGGGGGAGCCGGGCCAGCCTCCGGGGAGTGGGTAAAGGTGGCTGAATTGGCTTCCGGTACTGGGGCTGAGGGTGGCCGAGCTGGCCTCCGGGGAGTGGGTGAGGGTGGTGGGTTAAGCCCACTTTCTAGGGCAGAACCTCGCTAGGTCTGGCCATACCGGCAGGTCCCAGGGGTACCTGTTGCCTGTGAGGCAGCCAGCAGTCTGTCCAGGGCTGGAGCCCTATCTGGCTGGCACTGGCTGCTGGAGATGGCTGCCATGGAGACAGGCCCGGGCACCAAGGGCTCCCTTCTGGGCAATCTCAGCGGATGCCCGGGGCCACCCCCAGGCCAGCCAAACCCGGGAGCTGACTGTGCCCGTCCTGCAGGACAGAGCTGGCCTCCCTCCACGACAAGGCCTCAGTCCTGAGGAGAACCCTGGGGCACGTGAGCTCGGCTCGCCAGCTGCTGACACCATGGTGCTGGGCCTGGACCCAACCCGCGAGCCTAGAGCAGTTCTCATCTAGTCGCTGAACCCAGGGCCATCTGCCTGGGAGGGCAGGAGGAGTCACTCAAGCAGGATAGAGCCCCTCCCCAGGCCCCTGTCTGCAGACCTCCCCCCAGGGCAGAGGGGTTCCCGCTCCTGGCAGTGAGTGAGCTATGAGGGCTAGGCCAGTCACCTCCAAGCTGGCCTAGCTGGGCCCGCAGGCCATTTGCCTCCTCACTGCCCTGGGAAGGCAGAAGGTATCCAGATTGCCCACTTCCAGCAGCCAGGGCCCAGGGAGCTGCACACAGGCCCTGCTCGTGCACACACCCATAGCCTAGCAGGTGCCCAGGGCGGATGTGACTGGAGGTGTCCATCCCCCTGCAGGACGCAGCTCAGCACCTGACTCCATCAACATGTCTGGGCTGGCGTCCCAGGAGCCATTCCAATTCTGGCTTCCTGCTAGCCTGGCCCATCAGGCAGCAGGTTGAGGTACTGAGGTCTCTGCTGCTCACAGGGGAGACCCAGATGGCCTAGCCCAAGGCCTGTCTGCTGCAAACATTTGGGGAGGGAGCCAGCAGCTGGGAGGTCTCTCTGTCGCTGTCTTGAATAAATAAACATTACAGGGAAGCTCTCACGTAGCGTAAGGAGGAGGCCGGGGAAGGTGCTGGTAGCAGCTTTCTCTCCATCCACTCACTGATTCAGATTGACAGAGAGAAGGAGAGACAGAAAGATCTTCCTCCTGATGGTTCACTTCCATATGGCCGCAGTGGCCAGAGCTGAGCCAGTCGGAAGCCAGGAGCTTCTTCAGGTCTCCCACAAGGACAGGGGCTATCTTCTGCCGCTCTCCCAGGCCACTAGCAGGCAGCTACACGGGAAGAGGAGCAGCCGGGACGTGAACCAGCGCCCCATGGGATGCTGGTGCCGTAGGGGAGGACCAGCCTGCTTTGCCACCACACCGACCCCCAACCACCCGCCTTCCACTGTGAAATCCCCCGAGGCTGTGCTCGCCCCTTTGTCACTGTGCGGGCTGCCACCCGGGCGGGGCCACACAGGGGTGTGGATGGGCACGGTGGCGTTGCTGGCCAAAATGGGTTTCTGCTTTGGGCAGACACTGGTTCCCAGCCCCGGCGCCTTCCCCTCTGGGCCGGGGAGGTGAAGGCTGCCGCGCAGCTCTGCCTGCTGCTTCCTGTGGGCTGCGTCCTCACCCTCCCGCTCGCCGTCCAGCCTCTGCCCGTTTTGCTCCCTGCCTCCTGTGCCCGGGTCCCAAGATGGATGTCGGCCCCTGCCTACCTGAGCATTCAGAACCGGCTGCTCACTGGGAGCAGAAGCCAAGATTCTGATGTCTGCACTGACCCTGAGCCTGCGGTGGCATCCGCTGTGCCCTGGCTGGGGAGGCGTCCAGCAGAGCACTGCCGTGTGTAATTGGGTCTGTGTGATTGGAGGGGCTTGTGCCCATGGGCAGTGTGGGGACTGTGGCAGTCCCAGACTGGACAGCCGACTGTGTGTCTCCCGGGCCTGGGCAGGAGCCTGCCGAGTGCCCCCAAGCCTCCTGCCCTGTGAGCTGTGCATTTGCCCTTTGTCCCCGCTCTGCCTGGAGTGCCCGTGACTGGTTGGCACTGACCCAGCCCCTGCCCGGCACAGCTCTGTCTGCCGCCCACTTTGGCCCAAGGTCTGTGTCTTTCCCATTCTCACAAAGAATGCCAAGGCTGTGCCCTGCCCCTCGGCCTGGTGAGGGGCGCTCTGACCCATGGACGCCTCTGCCGCCACGCCCTCCCAAGGCGGCTCCCATTTCTGCTGGGCAGAGGGGTCAGGTCTGATGCAAAATCCGGGTGGGCCCGGAAGGCCTGGGTGTCTCAAGTGGCCTTGGCTTAAGGTTTTGCAACTTGACACAGCCACGGCACCACTGGGAGCCCTGTGCCCACTTCTACTTTCTGTGCCAGCACCCGGCCTTCCCCCAGTGTCCACTGCCACCTGCTCCCTGCCTCAGCGTCCCCCGTGATTCCTCTAACGCCGTGTTCCAGTCACAGAACTCCAGAGTTGGACGTCTTTGTCCGTGGGCTGTGCTGCTGCCTGGGAGAGTGGCCGGCCCACAGCCAGCGGAGGATCTGGCCTGGGGAGGCTCAGTGCTGCGGTGAGCACCTTGGGGACACGGCCATGACTGTGCCGGGAGCTGCAGTGAGGGCGGTGGGGACAGTCCACGGCTGGACCAGGAACTGCATTTACAGCCCTTGGGGACACGGTCGCAGCTGTGTCAGGAGCCCCGGTGAGGGCCTTGGGGACACAGCCACGCCCTGTGGTTCTGCCTGCTGGCGCTTCTTTGGTCGGGGAGCTGAGGTCACAGAGGTGGCGTTTACCCCAAATTCTGGCTGGTGTCTGTGGCCTTGCTTAGGGTTTCCTGCCTCAACCAGAGCCTGCTCTTGGTCTCTGCGCTCGTGTCTACCAGCGCCTGTGCCAAGTGGGACCACAGGTGCCAGGCACCATGTCTGCTCTGTACATGCATGAGATCCATGCCTGGCCTGAGAGCTGGCCCCATGCTCCCTCCTGTGGCAGAGAGGAGCCAGGCTCAGGCCCTGCACCGGGGGGGCTGCTCTGGCTGCCTTCCCACGTGGTGAGGAGGGAGGGCAGCCAGGCTTGGGAGCCAAGGCGCATGCTCTGAGTCGGGCTTCCCTCCTGGCCGCTCAGGAACTCTCATGGTCACCATTTATCTGAGCTCAGCTCTGGGCCAGGCAGTGCTTGAGCCAGTGAGGGGCAGTAGAGGAAGAAGGGACGCAGCTTCGTGTGGTCAAGGTCGGGGTGCTATGGTCTGCGGCACTGGAGCTCAGTGTTGTTGGGTGTGGTAAGGGGGTGCACAGGTGTGGTGGGCATCTTGCTGTGCCAGGGGCCTCAGTGTCCCCATTCGGGGACTCCAGGGGCTTATGTCTGCTTCCGAGTTTCAGGAATGGGGGATTTTGTCTATCCATGGTGCAAAGTGTCTAGCAGGCTCAGCAGCTCCCCCATCCAGGGCCACATATATGATGGCGACACCCAGCGCTCTGCCCTCCATTGGAGCAGCCACAGCTGCAGAGCAGGGTAGTGGACAGTGATGGACGCTGAGTCCCGAGTGGTCCTGGGAACACAGGTGGAGCCCTAAGGCACGGTGGGACGAGCCTCAGCTGCCTTGGCCCCTGCCCCAGCACTGGGGGGTCTGGGGGCTTCCACCCAGAGGACAAGTGGCCCCATGAGCTGCCCCTCGTCTGCTGCCCGCCCGTGGGGAGCAGGTTCTGCTTCTGATCTTGGTGGGGAGTGTCAGGGGTTCATTTTGACATCTTTGACCCTGGCGGTCATCTTGCTGGGGATATGGGGTAGATGGGGTGCAGAGTCATCCACATGAAGACAGAATGGAGCCTGGGCAACACCCCCCGGCAGATGGTCCTCTGGCCCAGGGCCCAGTGCTGGGGTAGCCCCTTGCCTGCGGAGCCCTGGCACCCTGTGTCGGGCAGAAGGGCAGGTGCCACAGCCTGAGCGCCCCCGGGAGAGGAGCCCACTCAGCCTGGGGAGGGGTTTCGGTAGCCCAGCCCTGTGTGGAGGCTCTGCTTCCTTCCAGCTTGGCAGCCTCCACCTGCAGTGTCACCCAGACCACAGCCAGCCACAGAGCCAGGTCGGGGCGCCTCATGGGGCAGCTTGGCAGAGGAGGCTGCGCAGCCACTTTCTCAGCCTTGGCACACCCAGCTGGGACCACCAGCTCCTGGAGCCCCAGCTTTCAGGGCAGTCTGCAAGACCAGGGACTAGGGTGCACCAGCTCAGAGTGGGGCAGCACACGTGTGCACATGAATACAAGTGCAGTGTACATGCGTGTCCATGCAGGCGTGCGATTGCGCCTGTGTGTGTGTGTGTAGGATACGGAACACACGGTGATGAATGTGTATGGAGGGTTGTGTAATGTGTGTGAATTCGCATGTGTGGTGGCTACAGATGAAGCTCTTCTGGGGCTCCCGGGTGCCCTGGCCCCCTGCGTAGCAGAGCAGCCCACCCTTTCCCTGCACAGGACTCAGGGCTCTGACTTGAGCAGCAGCATGGCCTAGGGTGGGAGGGACTCCCGGGGCCCCTGTCACCAGGACACCTGCCTCTCTCCCACAGGACATGCTGGGCTGGCGCCCCCTGCTGCTCGCCCTGATGGCGCTGCTCCCCCTGGGGTTTGGTGAGTCCTGGGGCTGGGGTGCCAACGTCCTCCAGGGCAGCGGCTCTGCCACTGGATCCCCTGAAGCTGCAGAACCGGCTTGCCCCTCACTCACCTCTCTGTGGCTCAGCTAGGGCGGGGCAGGGCACCCCACCCTCCACTGTCTCTCCCCCGGGTTCCCTCACACCTGCGCCTGTCCCCCCAGTCGTTTCACAGGAGTGCATCAAGTACAAGGTCAGCAACTGTCGAGAGTGCGTGCAGTCGGGCCCTGGCTGCGCCTGGTGCCAGAAGCTGGTAAGAGCGTGCGGCTGTGTCCTTGTGACAGCGGTTCTGCGTCCCCTGGCCGGGGACCTTCTCTGCCTCCGAAGCCAGTGGCAGCAGCAGTGCCCACAGCCACATCCTGGGGGAGCAGGAACAGCTGGAGTTGGAGGCACACGTCATCTTGGTGCCGCCCTGCGATTGGACCCTGAGGCAGAGAAGGCCGGGTTCCGCGTGACCCTGCAGGGAGACCCAAGGCTGCCCACGCTGCTGCCCCAGTGTCACCACAGGGGCTGCATCCACATCGAGCCTGGGCCCCTCACCGCGGGGCCGTGCCCACTGAGGGAGCCTGGGCCCCTCACCGCGGGGCCGTGCCCACTGAGGGAGCCTGGGCCCCTCACCGCGGGGCCGTGCCCACTGAGGGAGCTCCAGGCAGCTTTTTCTCCTCTATGCTCCTGCTTGAGCACGCAGTCAGGTCAACCGGTAGCTCCTACCATTCACCGTGTTCTCCAGTCTGATGCTCCATGGGAACCCTTGTGTGGACCCTTGGGCTGGCCTATGTCCAGGGAGATTGGGGACCCTATTGGTCCACGTGTGGAGGCGCCCTGGACCAGTCTGGGGATGTGTGGGTGAGCGATGCTTCTGATGGTCCCTCAACTCTCTTGTCCTGCCTGGCCTGGCTTCTCCGGTCTCAGAAAAGCTGCCCCCCACCCCGCTTAGTTTACCTCCTCGTTTGTTCAGTTGCATCAGCAAGGGTTAAAAGGTGCCAGCCCTCAGCAAGGCAGCCAGCAGACCCCTGGGGGCCTGAGGCTGCGGCCAAGGCTGGGCCCTGCCTGGCTTGGTGGCTCCCTGCAGGCATCTGACACAGGCATGGGTCCCCATGAGTCTGCATGGACCACAGCTCAGTGCTGCTTCGTGGTGTGGCAGATTGCTCTCTGCAGCCCTCAGCTCTGAGTGGGACGGGTGTGAGGACCTGCTTGTCAGAACCCAGGGCAGTCTGATGGGGAGAAAGTGCCCTGGATGGGCCCCCTCTGGCATCCCTCTGACCCAAGGCAGCCCAAGCTATATGGGGGACTCCCATCCCCTTTGCCCTACTGGCCCCACTGGGCTTAGTCTGGACTCCTCGAGGAAAGGCACCCAACCCCTTCCTCCTCTGACAAGGAGAGTCCCAGGCCCCCAGAAGGGGTGGCCTCCCAGTGGTTCTCCCAGGCCCCAGAGGGGTGGCCTCCCAGTGGTTCTCCCAGGCCCCCAGGAGGGGTGGCCTCCCAGTGGTTCTCCCAGGCCCCCAAGGGGTGGCTTCCCAGTGGTTCTCCTAGACCCCCCAGAAGGGTGGCCTCCCACTGGTTCTCCCAGGCCCCCCGAGGGGTGGCTTCCCAACAGTTCTTCCCTGTCCCCTAGAACTTCACAGTGCCAGGGGAACCAGACTCCAGCCGCTGTGACACCCGGAAGCAGCTACAAGCCAGGGGCTGCCAGGCCGATTACATTGTGGACCCCCAGAGCCTGGCCAAGCTGGAGCAGCTAGGAAACCAGAGGCAGCAGCTTTCCCCAGAAAAAGTGACCCTCTTCCTCAGACCAGGTAGGTGTAGGCCCCAGCCTGCACTGAAGGGCAGTGAGATGGGGACCCCCAGCCTGCTCTGGGGGCACTGGCCTAGCCTAGCCTACTGTACAGCCTGGTTCCGGATAGCCAGCCCTCACCCAGGCTGCTGGGTGACCTCAGCTCCCTGCGGGAGGCCTCTGCCCACAGCTGGGTTCTGCTTGACTGAGCTGGACTGCCCTCCTGCTGAGGCCGCACACACCACACACCTCCCCCACTGTGCACTCAGCCCAGTGTGGTGTTGATAGAGCACTGGGGCAGCTTCCCCAAGAGGACGGGGGCTGCAAGTCTGAGCAGCATCAAGGCCCTGTGTGGGGACCCCAGGCTGGGGCAGAGCCCAGCTGCAGCCTGAGTCCAGGAGAGAGCAGATCTGCAGGTGCTCGCTATCCTGCACGGGGCGGGGGCACGGGACCGTGGCGAGGCCGCTGGGGCACTAGCCCTGCCTCGGCTGGCATCTGACTGGCCCCCACCTGTCCCCTGGGGGCCCTGGCCAAAGGGCATCGAGGGCATCTCAGGTGGAAGTCCTGCCTGCTGAGTGCCACGGTAGAGGGGAGGGACACAGCCTGTGGTGGGCTGTGTCCAGGCCAGCCCTGCTCCGGGCAACAAGTGCTTCAGCAGTGGCTGGGGCAGGCACGGCCAGGCCTGCACAGTGGAACAGGCTTCCTGCTCAGCCCGGACAGGAAACACCTGCCAGCCAGGAGAGCTGCTGGGGGAGACCTAGGAGTGTGCAGTGAGAGTGTGAGTGAGGGCTGTGTGAGAGTGTGAGGGCTGTGCGTGTGTGTGTGAGGGCTGTGTGTGTAAGAGTGTGAGGGCTGTGCGTGTGAGAGTGTGAGTGAGGGCTGTGTGTGTAAGAGTGTGAGGGCTGTGCGTGTGTGTGAGTGAGGGCTGTGTGTGTAAGAGTGTGAGGGCTGTGCGTGTGAGAGTGTGAGTGAGGGCTGTGTGAGAGTGTGAGGGCTGTGCGTGTGTGTGTGTGTGAGGGCTGTGTGTGTAAGAGTGTGAGGGCTGTGCGTGTGTGAGTGAGGGCTGTGTGAGAGTATGAGGGCTGTGCGTGTGTGTGTGAGTGAGGGCTGTGTGAGAGTGTGAGGGCTGTGCGTGTGTGTGTGAGTGAGGGCTGTGTGAGAGTGTGAGGGCTGTGCGTGTGTGTGTGAGTGAGGGCTGTGTGAGAGTGTGAGGGCTGTGCGTGTGTGTGTGAGGACTATGAGTGTGTGAGGATTGTGAGTGTGAGGGCTGTGAGAGTGTGAGAGTGTGAGGACTGTGAGTGTGAGAGCTGTGAGTGTGTGAGGACTGTAGGACTGTGAGTGTGTGAGGGCTGAGTGTGAGTGATAGAGGGCTGTGTGTGTGTGAGGACTGAGTGTCAGTGCTGTGTGAAGACTGCTGTGAGTTCTGTGAATGTGAGTGTGTAAGGACTGAGTGTGTGAGGCTGTGTGTGTGTGCTGTGTGTATCTATGTGAGCATGGTGTTTCTTGTGTGTGCTATGCACATTCTCGTCTGTGTGTAAAGCAGTTGTGTGATTGCAGGTATATATACAGATGTAGGTGTGACACTGGGGTGTGTGTGTGTGTGCGTGCGCGCCTGGCAGCTGTCCCTCCCTCCTTGGCTCCCTCAAGTGACGAGCTTGTTGGGAGCTCACCACGTGCTTGTCCTGAGTGGGTGACAGACACTCTGTGAGGCGACAGTCGCTCCGTGAGGCGACAGACGCTCCATGAGGTGACAGTCGCTCCGTGAGGTGACACTCTGTGAGGCGACAGTCGCTCCGTGAGGTGACAGTCGCTCCGTGAGGTGACAGACGCTCCGTGAGGTGACACTCTGTGAGGCGACAGACGCTCCGTGAGGTGACACTCTGTGAGGCGACAGTCGCTCCGTGAGGTGACAGACACTCCGTGAGGTGACAGACACTCCGTGAGGTGACACTCCGTGAGGTGACAGACATTCCATGAGGTGACAGACATTCCATGAGGTGACAGACGCTCCGTGAGGTGACACTCTGTGAGGCGACAGTCGCTCCGTGAGGTGACAGACACTCCGTGAGGTGACAGTCGCTCCGTGAGGCGACAGTCGCGTGCAGGCTGTGAGGAGGTGGAGAAGGGGGCCTCCCCACGGGGTGCGGGCATTGGGTCCCTGCCGGACGCCAGCCCCAGCCGTGTTCAGAGCTCGAGAAGGTGCGTAGAGTCGGCGTAGAGAGAAAAGAAACGGACCACTACGGTTTCAGGATCATAATGGACCATTCAAGAAAGCTGTCCTCTTTATTTATACAGAAGCCTTCACAAACTCTGGCTCAGGCTTTTTACGTCGTGGTCAAGTGGGTGTTTCTAAGGATAATTCTGCCCTTTGTTTCACCTAAAGCAGGATGTTATCCATCCTGACCCTGTGGTCAGGAAGTTCAATAGATGGTGCACATCAATCAGTAACACATTCCTACTACAATCCTCATTCTGCAGCTTAGTCTAGAATCAGTCAAGGGAGGAAAGGCATCACGGAAGGAGGGAGCTGCGGATCAAGGATGGTCAATGGGGACAGTGAGACAGCATGAACCGTAAAAAGCCCTTTGCCAATGAGCACATCATCTCCCAAGCTCACATTGGTAGTAAAAGCCAACTCGCGGTGGCAGACAATGCCTAAATAGATGACAGAATTCTCAGCAGGGTGGTTGGGTGTCCATGCAGAGGGAGGTGGAGCTGCCTTCAGGTGGTTGCCCGGCCCTGCCATGCAGCGGGAAGATTCCTCGTGGCCTTGCCTGCAGGGGAACAGTTCTCCATGCACTTTTGTACTTCCGTGTCCTCCACACCCACTGCACGGACCTCAGCAGGTCTCTGTGGCTGCTGGGCGGCCAGCGGCTGGGCCTTAGCCGGGCAGTCTCGGGCCTGAGGTTTTGACCAATAACGAGCATGTCGCCTGGGGAAGGGGAGCCTGGGTCCCGTACCAGGGCTCGGAGATGGGGTCCTGGCGAGGCCCCCCGGGTTGGGACCCTTCCGCCACAGGCCCGAGGTGCTGGGCCTGGCCCTGGCTGAGGACACCCACTGCACAGCATCTGGCCTGCAGCCATTGGCCGTGTTGGCATGCTGGCATGTGGGTCTGCCTCAGCCCTGCTGCCAGGGCATGGGAACAAGTGAGGGTGCAGAGCCTGGGGCTGGGGGTGCCCAGTAGCCACTCACTCCCACCCCGTGTCACGGGCAGGCCAGGCGGCTGCATTCAACGTGACCTTCCGCCGGGCCAAGGGCTACCCCATCGACCTCTACTACCTGATGGACCTGTCCTACTCCATGCTGGATGACCTCATCAACGTTAAGAAGCTGGGCGGCGACCTGCTCCGTGCCCTCAACGAAATTACCGAGTCCGGCCGCATCGGTGAGGCCTTCCTGGGCAGTTGGCACCTGCTGTCCACACACCAGAACCCACAGGGTCCCACAGGCATCTCCAGGAGAGGACCGGTCTCTAGCCCCTGAGGCCACAGCCATGGTCCAGCCCCTTCTCCCTCTCTTCTCCCCAACCTCATGTTTACCATTAAAGGCCAAAGGCCCACGGTGCTGCTTTTGCAAAACTAAAGGCAGCTGTCCGCAGGCCGTGCCGGCATTCTAGCACCGATGGGTAACAGGTTAACTACCAGCCGAAGTCTGGGCACTGGGTGTATCCTGACCCGTTTACAAAGTGCCAAGTCTTGGGTGCCCAGATGGGTGAGGGTCAGCATCTCCTCCACCCCAGCCGCTCCCCGGAGCAGCACTGCCTGTCGGTCGAACCTGTGAGACAAGTGCACACGTGTGTTCAGAGCCTTGCTCACGTGTGCAAGGCATGCGCACACTCACTCGGGTGCCTGACAACGCTCTCCCTCCAGCCTCATGCTGCCCCATCTGCCCACAGGCTTTGGGTCCTTTGTGGATAAGACAGTACTGCCCTTTGTCAACACACACCCCGAGAAGCTCAAGAACCCGTGCCCCACCAAGGAGAAGGCGTGCCAGGCGCCGTTCGCCTTCCGGCACGTGCTGAAGCTGACCAGCAACTCCGACCAGTTCCAGACCGAGGTTGGCAAGCAGCTGATCTCCGGGAACCTAGATGCCCCCGAGGGCGGGCTCGACGCCATGATGCAGGTCGCCGCGTGCCCGGTAAGGCCGCTGCCCTGCCGAGTGACCCCAGGGGCTGCCTGCAGACCAGGTGGGGCAGAGAGGGAAGTGCCTCCCCAAGAGGGACCTGCAGGCTCTCATGCTGACTGGCAACCCCCACATAACTTCTAGAATCCACCATGGCATAGGCCCCTGGCAGCCCTGAGCTGTCCTGGGCGGAGCCGACCGTGCTCCTGACCAGGCCAGGAGGGCAGGCTGGGCTGGGGCCCCAGGGAGGGAGGGGGCTCCTCCAGGCAGGGAGGGCTGTGCGTCCATCACCCCTGCTAGATCTTGAGGCAGATGCTCCTGCCCGCACCCTGCTCAGGAGGAAATCGGCTGGCGCAACGTCACGCGGCTGCTGGTGTACGCCACTGATGACGGCTTCCACTTTGCTGGAGATGGGAAGCTGGGGGCCATCCTGACCCCCAACGACGGCCACTGCCACCTGGAGGACAACATGTACCGGCGCAGCAACGAATTCGTGAGCCTCTCCCCAGCCCTGCGCAGCCCACCTCCCTCCCAGGGGACCCCTTTGCTTCCCATAGCCGCCTGGCCCTACAGACCTCAGGGCCTGCAGAGAGCGGGGCTGGGCCCACCTTCCCGCCCAGCTCTCCTCTGGGCTGCCCCTTCCCCTCTTAGGGGGACTGTCCCCCACTCACAGCCAGGAGAGGGACACAGGCACACAGATGAACAGGGCCCAGGGTCAGCGGGGCAGGGCAGGGCAGGGCCAGGGCTGACTTTAGGGGGTGGAGGAATCCCCTCTTTGGCTGAGGCCACGTGGCCAAGAGGGTCTGGGCTCCCGAGTGCAGCTGGCACAGCTGGCCCAAGGCCACCCCCAGGCCAGAAGCATGCCTCGTTCCTGAGATGTGTGATCCGAGGTCTGTCCGCAGGACTACCCTTCAGTGGGGCAGCTGGCGCACAAGCTGGCCGAGAGCAACATCCAGCCCATCTTTGCAGTGACCAAGAATATGGTCAAGACCTATGAGGTGCGAGGGGCGGGGCCTTGGCGAGGGGCGGGGTCTGCAGCAAGGGGCGGGCTCTCTAACATGGCTGGAAGCTGCTGGTGCCTGCCTGTGGCCAGCTTGAGTGGACAGCGCTGCTGCAGTGGGGTCCCCTCGCGGGTCTCTGGGCTGATCGTGGGGTCCCACTCTCCCGGCGCTACAGAAGCTCACAGAAATCATCCCCAAGTCCGCAGTCGGGGAGCTGTCTGAGGACTCCAGCAACGTGGTGCAGCTCATCAAGGACGCCTACAGCGTGAGTGAGGCCCGCAAGGGGGGCGGGCCCCCTTGGCCTCTGGACACCCTGGCCCGACCTCTGCTCACAGGCATCTCCCGGTCTGCTCCCTGATGGTGTCCTGGGGGCTGCCACAGACCCCAGCTCCCCCAGGAGCCTCGTGGACAAGGAGACATGGGGAGCAGGCAGCTCCCCCACCCCAGGGGTGGTGTCTCTGAGCTACAGAGTCTCTGTCTGGCAGCTTTCCACCTGGCAGTCTGCAGTGTGGATGCCCTCACCCCGGGGCCACAGGCCTGGTGGCCCCCTGAACACTGCAGGCCCAGCAGGTCGGAGAGAGCTGCTCCGGGCCAGGGCTCCTAGGGGATGGAAACCCCACTCATGCTAGGGCCCCAGCAGGGACCACTTTGTTTCCCACAGTCAATGGGGTGGCAGCCCTGTCACCTGGGCACCCCACAGGCCTCTACGTGGGTGTGGTCTGTGGTCAGTGGGACTGGAGGAGGGGTACGCAGCTCTGGTACCACCCACCCCGTCCCACACACCCTGGGCGCAGGGGAGGGCAGGGGACGATTCACCGAAGTGCCACCCTCGCCCTCCACTGTAGAAACTGTCCTCCCGAGTCTTCTTGGACCACAGCGCCCTCCCCGATACCCTGAAGGTCACCTATGACTCCTTCTGTAGTAACGGAGTGTCACTCATGGGCCAGCGCCGAGGAGATTGCGACGGCGTGCAGATCAACGTTCCGGTGAGCCCCTGGCCCAGCTTGGGGAAGGGCCTGCTGCTGCCACCCCGGAAACCGTGGGGAGAAGCTGTGCTGGTTAGCATGCAGAGTGGCAGGGAAGCAGCCCCCATTTCTCTGCCTTGTAGGGCCAGGCACCCCTGGGAAGCCAGCCCAGCAGGTGCCGGGGGAGGGTGCAGGCAGGGCACCGGATGTGCCCCTTGGCCTGGGCACATTCGCCAGCGGCTAGAAGAGCCTCAGGTGCCAGAGTGACTGGGGCTGGGGCCAGGCAGACATCGGGACGGCCTCGATTTGCCTGCTTTTCTTTGCTTGCTTCATTCTATTTCCTGAGAAACCTTAGGGCATAGAACCTCACCTACAGCCCCTGAGTCCCCGCCCTAGCATCTTAGACTGCAGTGCCTCCTGCAGCTGGGGGCCTGCTTTTGTCACAGGTTTAAATGACTTCACAGTGCCTGCAGTGGCACCGCTTGCCACATGTCGCAGATGATCATAGCTGGGCTTCGTGGTTGAGGAGGCCGTGGGGAGGGAGGTGGGGGACAGGTGGCGGTGGAGTGACCTGTGCAGGAAGGCAGGCTCACTCGGGGGTCTTGGCTGTGGCTGCTGCCCCCTAGGCACCCTCAGGCTGCAGTCCGCTCTGCTCTTGGGGTCACCATAGAACTCCTGTCAGCATCTCAGTATGGGAGGCTGCCTACAAGACAGCCCCAAAAGTGCTCCAGGCTGAGCCAGGGATGGTGTTCCCCCAGTCAGAGGCTCTGGGGGCCTTGGGTGCTGGCAGGAAGAGCTGGCTGGAGCCTGCTGGCCCCTGGCTCTGGCTCAGCCCTTCCTCTCTGAGTCTCAGTTGAAGGCTCCCTGCTCCCTGCGTGATCTTCTCCCCTGCCCAGTCCTGCAGCCGTCACCCCCACCCCCGCCCCACCCTATGAGGCAGGAGCCAGGTCTTGACACTGGCTGCCCCACGGTCCCTCTGCAGGTCACATTCCAGGTCAAGGTTACGGCCACCGAGTGCATCCAGGAGCAGTCCTTCGTGATCCGGGCGCTGGGCTTCTCAGACACGGTCACCGTGCGGGTCCTTCCCCAGTGCGAGTGTCAGTGCCACGACCAGAGCCGTGAGCGTGGTCTCTGCGGGGGCAAGGGCTCCATGGAATGTGGCGTCTGCAGGTGAGGGTGCAGGTGGCCCACGGCACCCAGCCCCACCACCCAGGCAGGCATCCAGGTTCTACCTGCAGGAGCAGGAGGGCTTGGGGATTTTGCCCAGAGAACCCACTGCCTCGGTGCCCTCCCCCTGGTCCCCAAGCTAGCGTGTCTGTGATCAGTGTGTCCAAGCCTCACTCGGCACGACCGCCACCGCACAGGGCTGCCCCTCTGAGACACCTCCCCAGACCCAAACACAGAGGGCAGGCGAGGCAGAAGTGGGGTTTAAAACCTGCAGGCGCTCGTCTGGGCAGGGGCCGAGGCAGGGAGGTGGGAGAGGCTGCCGTGCCAGTTCCCGACAGCTGCCAGCGACCCCAGGGCAGGTGAGAGCAGGCACAGGGCTACAGCGTGGTCCCACAGTGAGGCTGCAGGAGCCACTGGTACTCACGCGTGCTTCTCTGCGTGGTATCCTCACATGTGGACAGACAGGGTATGGGATGCATGCTCAGGAGACCTTGAGGGAGAGCAGACTGGTCAGTCAGGGACCTAGAGCCCTCCGTGCTGCCTCCCGCCCCAACAACAGGTGTGATGCTGGCTACATCGGCAAGAACTGCGAGTGCCAGACGCAGGGCCGCAGCAGCCAGGAGCTGGAGAGAAGCTGCCGGAAGGACAACAGCTCCATCATCTGCTCGGGGTTGGGAGACTGCATCTGCGGGCAGTGCGTGTGCCACACCAGCGATGACCGCAACAAGAAGATCTTCGGGCGGTACTGCGAGTGCAACAACATGAACTGTGAGCACTACAACAGCCAAGTCTGCGGGGGTCCAGGTGAGCGGCCACCGCTCGGCTGGCCAGGGGTGTGGGCAGCAGATGCTTCTGCAACAGCCCTCAGCCCACCCAGCTTTTGTACTAGCCTCGGGGTCAGGGAATGTTCCAAGGGACAGCCCTGAGCAGGGACACTCAGCGCCCCAGCGAGGTCCCCCGCTCAGGGAGACACGTGGGCACGCAGACCCAACCAGGAGTTGCCGTCAGGGCTGGGAAGGCATAGACAGGGCTCCTGGGGCCCAGGCTGCTGCATGAGGAGAGTAGAGACAGGGGTGGGACAAAGGAGGAGGCCAAGGCCGCAGGCCATGGCTGCGTGGTAACCCAGCGGAGGGCACAGCCGTGCAGACCAGTGGGGGTGAGGATTCCAGACCCCCCTGGGCCAAACAGGACGGGGAGCCTGCAGGGGTCACTGCTGTCTTCCAGAAAGGGGGGAGTGCTCCTGTGGCCAATGCCACTGCCGCGACAACTTCGAGGGCTCGGCGTGCCAGTGCAAGAAGTCCACGGAGGGCTGCCTGGACACGCAGGGCGTGGTGTGCAGTGGCCGTGGGCGGTGCGTGTGTAACGTGTGCCAGTGTGATGACTTCTACCAGCTCCCGCTGTGCCAGGATTGCCTGGCCTGCCCCTCACCTTGTGGCCAGCACATGTGAGTGCCCCCCGGGCTGAGAGTCCTGTCTGTGGCCCCTGTCCTCACTGTGCACCTGCAGGCTCTCTGCTGGTCCCACCCACCCCTGCCTCGCTACGGTGAGCACCCAGGTGGCCCATGTGGGTACACCTGCCTGGGCCCCATCTCTGTGCTCACACCTGGCACCCATAGCTCCTGCGTCGAGTGCCTGAAGTTCGGCAAGGGTCCCCTGGAAAAGAATTGCAGTGAGGCGTGCGGGAACCTGAAGCTGGTGGACAAGCCTGTCAAAGGCAAGCCGTGCAAGGAGCAGGACTCGGAGGGCTGCTGGATGAACTTCACCATGCGCCAGCTCTACGGGAAGAACTATGAAGTCCACGTGTTGGATGACCGAGGTGCGGCCAGTGGCACTGGGCCCCAGAAGCTAGTCACCCCAGACAGTGGGGGCTGCAGAGAGAGGGGCTGCAGGCTTGGGGCCAAGGCTTGCAGCTGTGTGTCTCCAGTTAGTCCAACGGCCAAGAGGATGAGAAAATTCTGCTCTGACTATGGGCACTGCTGGCCGCCTGCCCACACAACTCCTGCCATGCCAGGCCCAGTACAGCTGTGAGCTTGTAGAGCCTGGCCCCGTCTGTGGTTCAGGCCAGGGGAGTCAGAGACCCCAAAGTCCACATGGCACAGTGCTGTAGGTCAGAAGAGGAGGAGGAGGAAGAAGGGGTGGAGGGGAAGAGGAGGAGGGGGTACAGGAGGAGGCTGCACCCAAGCAGAGTCGGCAGCGAGGTGTCAGACACAGCTCATCCCTAGTCCCAGCAGGTGCCTGGGGCCTGTCGGGGCCAGGAGTGTGTGTTCTGTAGAAAAGTGCCAAATCGACCTGTGCTGGCGAGAGTGGTGGGCGGCTAGGTGACGCCGTCCTTCCTGTAGGCGCTGGGTGGTCGCTGTGTAGACGAAGTTGGTTGGGGGATTAGTGAATGAGAGTGAGGTGCTGCCTCAGTTGGCAAGCTCTGCCTTGGCTGGCTTCATGCCACCTGGTGAAGGGCTTAGCCAGGGCCGCCTCCTGTCCCGCAGCCACAGGGCTGCTCCTGTGTCCTGCAGGAGTGGGCACTGGGCTTCCTGCCTTCCGTTGCTATTCTCTCAGGCTAGGCTCTGCCGTGGGCACCCCTGGGGCCAGGCCAGAAGGGGAGGGAAACGGGCATTGTAAGACGCTCTCCCCCGCAGGGTGTGTGGCGGGCCCCAAGGTAGCCGCCATCGTCGGGGGCACTGTGCTGGGCGTGGTGCTCATCGGCGTCCTCCTGCTGGTCATCTGGAAAGCCCTGACACACCTGAGTGACCTCCGGGAGTACAGGCGCTTTGAGAAGGAGAAGCTCAAGTCCCAGTGGAACAATGTAAGGGTCCTCCGGTTCCCCAAGGCCCAGCCTCTGGCTCCAGGCACCCCTCCCTGCCCTCCCTGCGCCCCAGCCCCCGGCTCCGGGCACCCCTCCCTGCGCCCCAGCCTCTGGCTCCAGGCACCCCTCCCTGCGCCCCAGCCCCCGGCTCCGGGCACCCCTCCCTGCCCTCCCTGCGCCCCAGCCCCCGGCTCCGGGCACTTCCCTTCCCACCCACCCCCGCTGCCTCCGCCGCTGGCTCCAGTGCCCAGGACGGTCATCCTGTCCCCTCCGGCTCTTCCCCAGAGCGGCAGCTCCCATGTTGCCCTCAGGCCTCCCCTCTAACTGGTCCACATTCCGTCTCTCTCCAGGATAATCCCCTCTTCAAGAGTGCCACCACAACAGTCATGAACCCCAAGTTTGCTGAGAGCTAGGAGCCCCCGTTGGGGACAGGACTTTGGGGCTCCTGCAGCCCAAGGCCCCGCCACAGCAGCATTGTCTGTTCACCCATGGCCGCTGTCCCCTACCCCTTCCCAGCGCCAAGCAAGGTCAGGCTCCCTCGGCTGCAGGCTGCCGGGAGAGGCACGAGAGAGGCACCGCTCTGGTCCTGGCTTTTGCACGCGTGTTTGTGAGAGTTAACCATGTGAGAGCTCGCCGGTTGTCCTTACACTCAGCAGGTATAAAACCACACCCCGACAGCACAGCCACTGACCCCATGCGTAATAAAAACACGCTTCAAACTTGGTACAGGCTGTCCGTGGAAGCCGGGCCCCTGACCACTGTGCAGCCTGCCTCAACCCGGCAAGCTAGCCGGGACCCCGTACCATGCTCTGGGGGTGCTGGGCTCTGCCGCCCCTCCTTTTCCTCGCCTGTGGTCCTGAGGCATTCAGGGCAGCTTTCCAGAAAGAGCACGGGAGCCCCTCAAGCATCCTCCCTCCTCCGTCACCTGTCAGGCCTAGGGAGACCTGTCTGCTCTAGGGAGAACGCAGTGGGCAGGGCTGGGACCAGAGGGCAACCAGGGGGGATGTTTAAAGGAAGGTGTGGTGATGACCCTGGGGACCGGGGGTAATACCGGTGGGTCAGGGCGTGACCCCGGCAGGTCAGGGGCATGACCCCGGTGGGTCAGGGGCGTGACCCCGGCAGGTCAGGGGCATGACCCCGGTGGGTCAGGGCGTGACCCCGGCAGGTCAGGGGCATGACCCCGGTGGGTCAGGGGGTGACCCCGGCAGGTCAGGGGCATGACCCCGGTGGGTCAGTGCCCTCACCGTCTCACTTGCCTGATGCTGTGCAGAGGGTAGGGCTGAGCGGGCCTGTAGGCCGGTTTCCACACCCTGCTGGTGTTTGGTGGCTCAGTTGTGCATTCTGCAGACAGGGGAAGCCATGGCTGCAAGCATGTTTCAGGTGATGCTTGCCATTTGAAAAGAAAGTGATTTACTTTTATGAACGTCACGAGTGACAGAGAAGGAGGGAGCAATCCCTTTATTGAGTCATCTCCAGGGGGTTGCAACGGCTGGGGCTGAGCCAGACAAACCAGGTCCCTGGAGCCACATCCGGGTCTCCCACGTGGGAGCCCAGGTACTTGGGCCGTCTTCTCTGGCCTTCCCAGGACATCAGCAGGGAGCTGAATCAGAAGTGGAGCAGCCAGGACAAGAACTGGTGCCCATTTGGGATGCCAGCAGCCCCCAGCTGACCTCACCCCATTATTTTTTACTCAAGAATTTCTGGTTTACAATCCCAGCAATTACTGATTAAAGACCACCCATCCAGCCGAACCAAAGGCTACACGAAGCCCAAGGCTCAACATTGGCCACAGCAGCACGTCATTCCAGTCCCGGAGAGTCATCTGACTCATGTTGTCAATCAGAGATATTAGGAACAGAACAAGTTAAGCCACATGTGGGTCACCTGTGCCCCTCACTGCGTCAGTGGCCGTGGTGCTGCTGCCCACCGCCCCCCGCCCCGAGAGCAGCTGGAGCTCAGTCTCCCGCCTGGTTTGTCTCTGTCAGCAGTGTCCGGTGCGGGATGGGCGGCAGCAAGCCCCACAGTGCAGTCAGAGCACGCAGCCAGGCTGTGCTTGCTGCGATCGCCTCCTCTCATTTCAGAGGGCACTCTGGGCATGCAGGGGGCTTAAAGGGAGCAGTGGGCACTGCCAGAGAGGTGGTCTTGAGGGTGAGCCCCTGGACGCAAGCCCAGGTCCATGCTTAGCAGGTGTGGGACCTTCGCCTCCTGTGCCAGTAGTAGGGTTGGGTGGGGAGGTCTCAGTGGGAGCGGCACAGGGGGCAGTTTGAGAATCGCAACTGCCCCAAAAGGCATGGCCAACTGGAATATTCTAGGTCTTGCCTAGAGGCCTCCCATGGCGGCCACCAGCTCTGAAATCCAGGCAGCTAACATCTCCTTGAAGCTATACAAGCAACCCACCTACCAGGGGTCATCTCTCCCTGTGGACTGACCTGGCACTGACTCTGGCCGTGGCACAAGCCCATGTCTACCAGCCTTTGCCCCCCACAGCGTAGCAGTCCCAGCCCCCACATTCCGGGCCCTTCCTACTCCCTTCCACCCAATATCCAAATCTGGGTCTTCAGGTGCTGGCCCTCTCCCCACGTGGTGGCTTAGTGGCCACCTGGGAGGAGCCGGTCTTCCCACACAGTTCCTCTGGAGTCATCCTTGAACCAGCCCACTAGTGTGAGGTTTCTCAGGGGACACAGCCACCGAAGAATTGTGCTTCGAGGCCCAGCGGGGACTCCACAGTGGACTCCAGCACCCAGGCTGTGCCCAGCGGGGACTCCACAGTGGATTCCAGCACCCAGGCTGTGCTGCGGGCGCCTGCCCTTCCACCTGAGCACACAGGGAGGAATTGTGCTTCTTCAAGGCCCAGCGGGGACTCCACAGTGGATTCCAGCACCCAGGCTGTGCTGCCGGGGCCTGCCCTTCCACCTGAGCACACAGGGAGGAATTGTGCTTCTTCAAGGCCCAGCGGGGACTCCACAGTGGATTCCAGCACCCAGGCTGTGCTGCCGGGGCCTGCCCTTCCACCTGAGCACACAGGGAGGAATTGTGCTTCGAGGCCCAGCGGGGACTCCACAGTGGACTCCAGCACCCAGGCTGTGCCCAGCGGGGACTCCACAGTGGATTCCAGCACCCAGGCTGTGCTGCGGGCGCCTGCCCTTCTACCTGAGCACACAGGGAGGAATTGTGCTTCTTTGAGGCCCAGCGGGGACTCCACAGTGGATTCCAGCACCCAGGCTGTGCCGCGGGCGCCTGCCCTTCCACCTGAGCACACAGGCCTCCCTCCTCAGTTGTCTTCTAGAACAAACTCAGAGGGTGTCAGCCAGCTCTGCTCCCCCACAGCCCTGCCCTGGCTGCTTCGTGCTTACGGTGCTGTGAGCTCAGTACTCCTCAAGTCCCCGAGCACTCCTGCGTGCTTGATGATCTTGGAGAATGAACACACGCATCATTTAGGAACTTCTTCCTTTCGACTCCTAAATTCACTTTAAATACTGTCCTACACTGGCTCTCGTATATTTTTAAAGATTTGTTTTTGTTGGAAAGTCAGACTTACAGGGAGAAGGACAGACAGATCTTCCGCCTGCTGGTTCACTCTCCAAGAGGCCGCGATAGCCCGAGCGGAGCTGACCTGCAGCCAGGAGCCGGTCCCGATGAGGGCATAAAGTGTGTGACAGGGGAGAAGTGGGCCAGACGCATGGCCTGTTGTAGCTACACACAGACAGGATGGCCATTACTGTGACAAGAACCCCGCTGGAGGGGACGGTGGGAAAGCCAAAGCCCCACCCGCCCAGAGCCCATCACTGCTTCCCAGCGGGCTCAGCACGGAGGGCACTTACAGAACAGGCCCGGGTCATGAGGCCGGGCCGGGGGCAGGGGGCAGCTGCCCCGCCTGTGGCAGACAGGGCCCCTTGATCCCAGTCCCTGCTCCTGCTGAGCCAGCGAGGGCCACCGCGGCCAGCACGGACGCTTCTCCCGTGTCCCCAGACAGGCCCAGGCCTGCAGTCCCAAGCCTCTACTCCCCGTCTGCCTTTCAGAACAGGATTTACTTGCTCATGATTTATTTGGTGCAAGAGACACTCCGAGTACCACTGATCCATTCCCCAGATGGCCGCAACAGCCAGGGCTGAGCCAAGCTGGAGCCCAGGGCCAGGAGTTCCATCCTGGTCTCCACACAGGGGGCAGGGGATAGGGGGCAGGGGATAGGGGGCAGGGGATGGCCGCAACAGCCAGGGCTGGGCCAAGCTGGAACCCAGGCCAGGAGCTCCACGGGGGCCGCGGCCCAGGCCTTCCCAGGTGCGCGGGCAGAACTGCAGGCTGCACGCAGAGAAGCCAGGACTCGCATGGACACCCCACTATGGGATGCTGCCCTGGCCCCTGCCTGGCCCACTGCGCCACAAGGAAGTCACCTAGGGTGGAGGCGAGCCCAGCTGGCTGCAGACTGTCCCCTGGCCCAACGGGCAAAGGAGAGGCTCTCCGGGGGGCTGAGGGGGTAGTGACTTCCCGAGGGACCTCCATTCCCCAAAGCCACCACCCAGGGGTCCCTCTGGGCTGACCCCCAGAGTCCGGCTGAGAACCACTTCAGCGACGGAATGTTGGCGAGGAGCCGATCCCGGAGGCGCCAGGCAGGGCAGGGCCGCCGGGCGCTGGGTCCCCGCTGGGCTCGTGCTGGGCTTGCCTGTGAAGGGACACCCGGAGTCCTCCCGGCTTCAGCGCCACACGTGTAGGACCGCTTTGGGGGGCTAGTTCCGAGATTCTAAACGCCCTAATGCATCAGCACACCATTTCGACCTCCCACCACAACCACGGGGGCAGGAAGAGAGGCCTGGGGCGGTGGGCGAGAGGTGACCGCCTGTCAGGACCCAAGTCAGAGGCAGCAGCAGCCGGGCACCGCCACAGGGCCAAGGAAGCGGGAAGCGCTGGCCCATAGGGAGTCCCTTGGCCAAAACGAGTCTGCGCAGGCGCACTAGGCCTGGCGGAGCCTGGGGGCGGGGCTGGCGGGCTGGAGGGTGGGCCTAGCGTGCCAGAGGGCGGGGCTGGCGGCTTCGGGGCGGGGCTGGCGGGCCAGGGGCGGGGCCGGCGGCTCTGGGGGCGGGCCGCGACGGACGCGCAGCCGCAGTCCCAGCCTGCCCGGCCCCCGGCCCACTTCCGGCGCCGCGCTAGCTCCGGGCAGGGCCGGCGGACGCTGGCGTTGCGTCTGTCCAGCTGTCCGGCAGAGACCGAGCGAGCGGCGGAGGGAGCGGCCATGGCGTCCGGCGGGCCGACATCGCGCTCGCGGCTGCCTGTCGGCGGCGCCCTGCTGGTGCTGGTGCTCGTGCGGGCCGCGGCCGCGCAGGAGCCGGCCGGAGGCGGTGAGGGCCGGGCCTGGGGTCGGGTCGGGGTCCGGCGCGCGGAGGAGCCGCCCTTTGACCAGGCGCGTGACGGGGAGGCCCGGGGCTCGGGGGAGGCCGGGGCCGCGGGGCCTCGTGTCCATCCGCGGCTCCGCCCTGGCGAGGTGCAGCCTCAAGGCACGGGAATGCGCGTTGTGCTCGGGGGGAGCCCGGGCTGGGCAGCGTCCTGGGCGGCCACACCCGGTGGCCGCTGGCTGTGAGGCCGGTCCCCCTGCAGTGAGGGCTGGAGCGGCCTGTTAGGACCTCGCCCGCAAGGCGCCTCCGGGCTCAGCCTTTGTGACGGTGGGTGGTGTCCCCGGCACAGGTGGACGCTGACCACCCCAAGGTGGCAGGTGGCTCAGGAAGCTGTGTGTCGGGGCTGCTTCTGGGCTCCGGCTTTGGGGGATGCCTGTGCCCTGGGGGATGCCTACGCCCTAGGAGCATGCCTGTGCCCTGGGGAGTGGTGCCTGTGCCCTGGGGAGGGGTGCCTGCGCCCTGATCCTTGGGGTGTGACGCCGCCAAAAAGCACTTCCTCATTGGGCAGAGGTGGCCCTGCTGGCTTCCTCTTGGAAGCTCCCAGTGCCAGGAGGCTGTCCTGTTTTACTCACTCTCACCTTGAAATGGCAGGAGCTGGCCCCAGGCGATGGCTCCGTGGTTCAGTCCTCGCCTTGCATGCGCCAGTATCCCATAGAGGCGCTGGTTCCTGTTCTAGCTGTCCCACTTCCCATCCAGCTCCCTGCTTGTGGCCTGGGAAAGCAGTCGAGGACAGCCCACAGCCTTGGGACCCTGCACCCGTGTGGGAGACCTGGAGGAGGCTCCTGGCTCCTGGCTTCGGATCAGCTCAGCTCTGGCCGTTGTGGCCGTGGGGGGTGTGAACCAGTGGAGATCTGTGTCTCCTTCCCTCCGTACATCTGATGTGCCTTTCCAGCAGCAATAGATACATCTTTAAAGAGATGGCCGGAACAGAATGAGGCTGTGTGAGCCGGTACAGTGCCTGAGGGGGGGTGCCCTGGACCCCACGGACACCCAGGCGTCCCCATGCGGTGTGGGGTGATGCGGTCACAGGGCAGGACTGTGATGTGAGTGGGTTTAGGGCGGCCCGACACCTGCTCTCACGGCCTCAGTCGGAGGGCGTGAGAGCCCGCAGCACAGGAGCCTCCCTAGAGCCTGGAGTTGCACATCCACGGGCCCAGGAGCGCGGCCGGGCGCCTGCTGCCCACGCAGAGCTCGGAGCAGCACAGCAGGGCCAGGCCACCAGCCCAGCACGGGCTCTGCCGCCTGCTCTTGGAGGCGGCAAATCTGGTTTTGTTGTGAAATCCTGTTTTTGACTAAGTTGTATAAACTGCCGCAGCCAGCGCGCGTGGTATGCTGCTCTCGCTGCTGCAGTGGGATGCCCAGGACTTCTCTGTCTCAATGAATTTCTGTTCTGTCCTTTTGTCTGCCGCTGATGTCCCTGGGCAGGAGGGACCCGATCCACCGCGAGGGCTGCAGCGTGCCGTGCGGCCAGGCCGTGATAAGTGGCGAACTCTTGTCCTCAGCTCGGCAGAATGTGCTGGCTTGTCCTGTGGGACTCACTGGGGTGAGGCCGTGAAGTGACCCACAGTGAAACGCTTTGAAAACACGTGCACGGTCAGCCCAGCCCCGTGACGCGGCGGGCGTGGAGCAGCCCGTGTGCACGTGGTCCTGGCCTCGCTGCAGCTCCTTGCTGCTGGCACGGGAGGACAGCAGAGGCTAGCCGCGTGCTTGGGCCTGTGCCATGCATGTGGGCAGCTGAAGGAGCTCCTGGCCCTCGGGCAGTGAACCAGCAGCTCTGTCTCTGTAGCTCTTTCAAATCAATGAAGCTTCTTCTTTTTTTTAACGGATCAATAGGCTCCGAGTTGAGGCCCCGAGTCACAGGACCTTAGAGATGCGGCCACACCCTGGCTGGGCTTACGGAGTTTCCTAGTGTGTGCTGAGGTCAGGATGCAGTGAGAGACCTCTGAGGGGCAGGCTGCTGCCTGGCCCCACAGCCTTCTTCTGCTGGCAGACATGAGCTGCGGACAGAGTAGGATGCCCTTTCCCAGCTCTGATGTTGTTGTTATTTTTTTAGCATTTATTTTTTACTGGAAAGTCAGATATACAGAAAGGAGGAGAGACAGAGAGGAAGATTTTCCATCTGTCGATTCACTCCCCAAGCCGCCACAACAGCTGGAGCTGCGCTGATCTGAAGCCAGGAGCCAGGAGTCTCTTCTTGGTCTCCCACATGGGTGCAGGATCCCAAGTCTTGGGCCGTCCTCAACTGCTTTCCCAGGCCACAGGCAGGGAGCTGGATGGGACGTGGGGCAGCCGGGACATGAACCAGAGCCCACATGGGATCCTGGTGCGTGCAAGGAGAGGACTTTACCAGCTAGGCCCAGCTCCGACGTTTTACTGAGGCCTCACTTTGCTGCAGACCTGCCCTGTTGCTAGTGTGTCAGGAACTGGAGGGGAGTTGAGCAGTTTTCCCTGCCTTCCTCCAGGGCCTCAGCTGACTCACAGGGAGCCATAATGCAGAGGTCTAGGCTGGACCTAGTCTGTACTGTGTCTTGGTTCACGCAAGACCAGATAAGAAAAAGCTTTATGAACCCAGTGAGGGAGACCCCCTCTCTCCCTGCCTGCCCTGGAGTGAGGCCCCCTTCCCTCCCCGTCTGTCCTCCTGGGGGAGGCCGTAGCCTTTCATGGATGACCTGGCTGCTCAGTGTGGAGGGGCTGCCGGCCCTCTGCCTTCGGTGTGCTGGCTTTGGCGTCAGTGCCTTGGATTTAGAACATTGGCTCTAGACTGGCTGCTCTGTCTTGCCCAGCCCTGTCTGATGGCCTGGGGAAGCAGTGGGGCAAGCCTGAGGACCCTGCCCCGCCTGGGAGACCTGGCTGAAGCTCCTGGCTGCTGGCAGCTGCCTGGGGAGCGAAGCAGCGGCTGGGAAACCTGTTTCTCCTCCCTATTTAAATCTGCCTTTCAGGTAAAAGATCTTTAGAAGGTCACCTTATGATGTTTCTGTTGAGGACTGGCAGCTGACTTGTTGGCTGAAGGGACTGCTCAGCCTGAATCCTGTAGGATGTGTGCAGGAGCAAGGGCCTCTGCTGCCTGACTCCGCGGGAGTAGCAGGGTGTGGGTCTTGAGCCCGGACATGCTCGCTTTCCCAGGCACAGCTGCCCAGCTGTCCCGTTGGCGTGCCCACACTCACCCCCGTCGGCAAGCCCCTCCTGCCGGCTGACGCCTGGCTGCCTTCCGGTGAGCGGGGTCAGTTCCAGCAGCCGTGTGACTGTGTCTTCCTTGGTGCCCCTGAGGAGGCGGCCCGTCGGTCACTCTGTCCAGGGTCATGTTAAGGCCTTGGTCACCTTGGCGGGGCCTGTGCTGTGGGCTGAGTGAGCCCTGGTTGCTGCCTGTCCCCCCGTCTCGGCTCAGGGCTCCTGCCGTGGCCGTGGTGCTGTGGTTAAGCAGTGGACGCTGCCCGACTCAGCGGCGTCTCGTGTCATCCACGCTTGCTGCCTGGCCTTCTCTGACTGCATGTCATGGGCAGTGGCTATTTGAGCTGTCCACGCTGGCCCTGAGTCCTGTGGCCGGTCAGCTGTACTTCCTGCGACGCCGTGCCGTGGCGAGCTCTGTCCACTGCCGTCCGCCGTCCTGGAACTGCCCTCATCTCCCAGGCCCCGGGCTCCTTTGCAGGGGGAGCAGCGGCTGGGAAGCCGGGCTGGCCTCTGCGTGGACGAAGCTGTGCCCAGCGCTGGGGACTTGTCGCCTTGCTGGGCCGGTTGGGACGTGCTGCTGCGTGTGCTTGCCACGACGGGAGCTTGAGCAGAGGGGGTCACCCTACTGGGGGTTCTCGGAGGGCGTCTTGGGCACGAGTGACTGTCATGCTTCCATGTGAAATGGGCGGTGCGACTGAAGCAGAGGACCTGTGCGAGCCAAGGCCGGTTCACCCTGCGATTGTCCCTCCAGTCACAGAATGAATAAAACAGCAGCTTTTTAAAAAGCACTTCAAAGGTAGAGCAATGCAGGGGGAGAAAGAGCTTCCCTCCACTGGTTCTTCCTCCAGATGGCTCCGACGGCGGGAACCAGGAATGTCTTCTGGGTCTGTCTTGGGGGTAGCAGGGTCCGCGTGCTCGCACCGTGTGCTGCAGCATTGGCTGCAGTTTAATACGCTGCACCCCAGAGCAGTGTCTGCCACCCTGTGTGGTGTGTCCGTCTGTCCAGCCAGACTGCCCAGGCCTTAGCTGTACCTCACTACGCGTGTTGCCAGCCCGCATGCAGTGGTTGTCTCGGGCACATTCCAAAGTGTGTCCAGAAAGGGTTCACCTGCAAGGAGGCTGTGAGCCCCGAGGCAGGCCCTGCCCTCGTGGTGCCTGACCCTGCTCGCCCGGGGGCGGCCCTGTCCTCGTGGTGCCTGACCCTCCTCGCCCAGGGGCGGCCCTGCCCTCGTGGTGCCTGACCCTCCTCGCCCGGGGGCGGCCCTGCCCTCGTGGTGCCTGACCTGCCCTCGTGGTGCCTGACCCTCCTCGCCCGGGGGCGGCCCTGCCCTCGTGGCACCGTGCCCTCCTCTCCGGCCAGGCCGCTGTCTTTCCCTCTGTCGCTCTGATCATCCATGTTTTGTGTAGATCGTTCCTCCCCCTCCTTTGTTTGGGCAGTTGTGAATTTTTAAACCTTTTCAATTTACATAGAAAAATGTTCATGTATTTCATATATATACTCTGCATTTTTCAGCCCTGTGATGCCTCCTGCCTTCCTTTGTTTTCCTTTTAGTTTTTGCTGTACCATCCATTCAGTTCCCTTTACAGTCACAGGTTCGCGTCTCCACGAAGTAACTCCGCCGGTAGGAAGTAGAACACTAGTGCTGGCCTGGACAAGGCGGTGTGTGCTCTGGCCTGACCCACAAACCTCCTGGAGTACAAGTGCTGCTCGTGGCCGTGCCGTGGGGGGGTGTGTTTCCATGGGAGTGGGGCAGGCATGAGTGTGTTGGTGAGGCCACGGGACAGGCATGGGTGTGTGGCCAAGGCCGGGGGTGGGGGCAGGCATGGGTGTGGCCACGTGGCCATGGGACAGGCATGGGTGTGAGGCCGGGGGTGGGGGCAGGCATGGGTGTGGCCACGTGGCCATGGGACAGGCATGGCTGTGTCTCCATGGCCGGGGGTGGGGGCAGGCATGGGTGTGGCCACGTGGCCATGGGACAGGCATGGGTGCGTCTCCGTGGCCGGGGGTGGGGGCAGGCATGGGTGTGGCCGCGTGGCCATGGGACAGGCATGGGTGTGTCTCCGTGGCCGGGGGTCGGGCAGGCATGGGTGTGTGGCCGAGGCCGGGGGTGGGGGCAGGCATGGGTGTGGCCGCGTGGCCATGGGACAGGCATGGGTGTGTGGCCGAGGCCGGGGGTGGGGGCAGGCATGGGTGTGTCTCCGTGGCCGGGGTGGGGGTGGTGTTTCCATGGTAGTGGAACAGGCTTGGGTGTGTCTCTGTGGCCAGGGGGCAGCCGTGGCTGTGTTTGTGGCTATGGGGTAGGCCCCACTGGCCAGCCTGGGTCACAGACGCTGACACCTCGGGCACTGCCCAGCACTGCTGCCGTCCTGGCCTGCAGTTGGGGGCGGTGGTTTTCACCGTACTGGCACATGTAGTATCGGGTCTGGCTTGCCTAGTGACCAGGGACGCTGGGTCGGAGCACCTGGGTCCCGGCTGCCTGCTGCCACATAGGGTGTCCTTCATGTGTCCTTCAGGCGTACCGCAGTCCTTGCCCTCTGACTGAGAGTCGCGTCTGACCCCTCTGTTGGGCAGTAGTGCTGTGTATGTGGAGCGGCGTGTCCCTGGGGGCCGGAGCACAGCCCTGGCTGGGGAAGGCCGGCCAGGCCCACGAGGTCGGGGTCTGAGAACACGGGTGTTGCGGTGACCTCGCCTGGAGGCTGGTTGGTTGCCAGTGGGTGAGGACCAGGTCACCCTCTAAGGGACATGCATGCCGTCTGTGTCTGGAGCCGCCTCCTTCCAGGAAGTGCCCTGGCGTGCTGTGCCTGCTCGTTCAGGATATAGTGAACTTTGTCCTTGTGCCTTGAAGGTAACTTGTCACCAGGAGCAGCTTGGTGGTTCCAGGTGAGATTGGTGGCGCCAGCGTCCCGTGCTGGCCCCTCCCTGCGTGGGAGCTGATATCTGCATGGCGTGGTTTTCACTGATTTCCTTGTTTTCTCCACAGCTTGTTCCCACAACACGAACAGAACCTGTGAGGAATGCCTGAGAAACGTCTCTGTGAGTCACGTGCCCAGCGGAGCGCCGTGTGCAGAGGCCTGCCCGGGGGTCCGGGGCTTGCTCGTGGCGTTGCAGGGCGGGCTGTGTGGGATTGGGGGTGTCTCGTGGAGATATTTCTGTGGTGTGGCTTAGTTCCTGTAGCAGGTGCCTGGGAAGTAAAGATAGTACAGCAGTTCTCGCCGAGCTGGTGCCTGGGCACTTCTGCTGCTGGGCCTGAAGTTGCTGGCAGGGCACCCTGGGATGGGAGAGGGGGCATTCCACCCTGCAGTCTGGGAGGGTCCTGGTCCCACAGCACCCCCACTGGCTGAAGCACCTCATGAGGCTGGAGCAGGATGGTGCAGGCCCGGGAGTGGAGAACAGCTCCTGTCTGAAGGGCTGCCTCTGGGGGCCTGGCCTGACTGGGGCTGCTCCCCTTGCCCACCATGCCTGTGGGGCCCTTGTGCCCTGCTGCAGCAGCCTGGCCTGGTGCTTTGCTGTGTGTGGCTACCCAGCTCATGGCGGGCTGGAGCAGGCGCATCAGCAAGTGGTGCCCTGAGCCTTCCCTGCAGTAGCTGCTTGTCGCCGGGGCAAGCCTGAGGCAGGATGCCTGGTGCCCGTTGACAAACGGCAGCTGCCATTCAGCAACTCAGTGGGTGCGTGCTGAGGACCAGGCCCTCAGCAGGCAGTGTGCCCGGTGTGCGAGAAGTGGAGGTGCTGTGCGGAAGCCGTGTGAGGCCCGGGCACAGGGGAGCTGGGGGCTTGGTAGCTCAGAAGCAGGGGCCCTTGTTGGGTTCAACCTTGTGAGTTGACGGGGCCACTGCTGGGCATTGACTAGAGGGCATTGAGGGTGAACATGGAGGCATTTGGGAGGCCCAGGAGGCAGTGCGTGCAATCAGGGCCTGGCCATTCTCAGGCCTGATTTTCTGTCGATTTCTTTCAGTGTCTGTGGTGCAACACGAACAAGGCTTGTCTGGACTACCCAGTTACAAAAATCCTGCCACCTGCTTCTCTTTGTAAACTGAGTTCTGCACGCTGGGGTGTTTGCTGGGGTAAGTTGTTTTGTTTATTTGGTTTTTTTCTTTTTGAAAATTCTGCAAACAACCAGCAACTTTTCGTGCAGATCAGGTTATCCCCACGCACGGAGATTGTGTGGGACACGCACAGCGCTCTGGAAGGCTCCATCAGGGCCCGTGGGGACCACTGCGCTGACCCAGTCACCTGGAATGCGCTGTCTGCTCCCCGATGCTTCCACAGTCCTGGGGTGAGCTGTACCAGTGACAGTCCCAGGCCAGCTCTTCACACCAGGCGGGCTCGCGTTCCGTGGGGCAGGCGTCCTGAGGGCTGAGGGGACGCTGTAGGAAGCCTGGGTGTTTGTGTTTCTCTCTGACTGAGGGTGCTGAGCACCTTGGCCTGTGACTCTCCTGTAAGTGATGTCACCACCAGGTTACAGGGATGGCCAGACACACAGGAGTCCAGCCCTGGACGGCTGAGGTTGGCAGCTTTCAGTTCCAGTGTGTCCTGTAGAGTCCCTGGAAGAAGACACCGTGTCCCACGTGGTCATAGCCCAGGGTGGAGACGCATGTCCCACGTGGTCGTGTCCTAGGGTGGAGACGCCATGTCCCACGTGGTCGTGTCCTAGGGTGGAGACGCCATGTCCCACATGGTCGTGTCTCAGAAGGGAGACGCTGTGTCCCATGTGGTCGTGTCCCAGGGTGGAGACACCGTGTCCCACGTGGTCGTGTCCCAGGGTGGAGACACCGTGTCCCACGTGGTCGTGTCCCAGGGTGGAGACGCCATGTCCCACGTGGTCGTGTCTCAGAAGGGAGACGCTGTGTCCCATGTGGTCGTGTCCCAGGGTGGAGACACCGTGTCCCACGTGGTCGTGTCCCAGGGTGGAGACACCGTGTCCCACGTGGTCGTGTCCCAGGGTGGAGACGCCATGTCCCACGTGGTCGTGTCCCAGGGTGGAGACACTGTGTCCCACGTGGTCGTGTCCCAGGGTGGAGACGCCATGTCCCACGTGGTCGTGTCTCAGAAGGGAGACGCTGTGTCCCATGTGGTCGTGTCCCAGGGTGGAGACGCCGTGTCCCACGTGGTTGAAGCCAGGATGGGGCTGCCATGGACTGTGCACCACCATGGACTGTGTGCAGCTTTGTGGGGTGCTCCTCATCCCAGGTGTCACTACCCCTGAGGGCTGGGGGACCCCAGTGTCAGCCCCGTGTTGGGTCGCAGCGAGCTTTGTGTGTTGGCGGCAGGGTCGGCTGCACTAGGCCAGCTGCCACGCAAACCCCGTTGGCTCTTGAAGATGGCTTTGCAGAGATCTCAGCACCGACCCACCCCAAATGGAGGGCTCCTTCCTGTTTCTGCTGTTGCCATTCGTGGCAGTTTACGTTTTCTGAATACTGAGGAGGAAAAGGCAGGATTTGAGCTCCAAAGGTGTTTGGGCAAGTGCGGCTTGGTGTGTCAGCATCATTACTGAGCTAGCAGTGCGGTCTGCTTGGGAGTCGCTCACAGCGGGGCACCTTGCATGGCGCACTGCGGGCCCTTGGGACGGCCACCTGCACGCCTGCCCCGGCCAGGAGGGCAGGAGGTGTCGGCACAGTGCTTTAGGCGGCAGGGCAAGTGGGATTGTCTGGGCACCACAGCCCAGGGAGTTTGCTCTTGGCACTGTCTTCCAGTGGTGTTGCAAAGCTTGTTTGCACACAGCCTTTGGGTGTGAATTGGCTGTGGTCCAGGCTGAGTAGAACAGCCTTAGCTGGTTTCCATTTCCAGCTCTTGATGTGCACTTGAACTTGTTTCCAGTTTGTGTCTGTTTCACAGGGAGCGGTTGCTTGGTGTGCTCTCTGCAGAGTTGATGAGGCTGTGGAGGTCCTGCCCGAGCAGCCGCTCCAGCCCCTGTCCCTCCGGATCCGTCAGTGGGCAGCGTGCTTCCCTTGGATGCCCCTTGGCAGTAATGTCATGTGCTTAACATTGACTTAAATAGTGAACAAAGCTGCATCAGACTAAACCCCCGTTTCTGAGTTAGCCTGAGTTCAAGTGGCAATGTCTTGGTCTGAGTATGCATACATGGTCCTGGGACCCTAGGTTGTCCTGAACTGCAGAGGGACTCAGCAGGCCCTGGGGGTGGGACCCTGCTGGCGCCTTGTCTGAGGCCATGCGCTCTGGCCGTGATGGCCCCCTTCACGGTGTGTGTGGGTTGTAGTGACCCTGGCTGTGACGGCCCCCCTCACAGTGTGTGTGGGTTGTAGTGACCCTGGCCGTGACGGCCCCTCTCACGGTGTGTGTGGGTTGTAGTGACCCTGGCCGTGACGGCCCCTCTCACGGTGTGTGTGGGTTGTAGTGACACTGGCCGTGACGGCCCCTCTGACAGTGTGTGTGTGGGTTGTAGTGACCCTGGCCGTGACGGCCCCCCTCACAGTGTGTGGGTTGTAGTGACCCTGGCCGTGACGGCCCCCCTCACAGTGTGTGGGTTGTAGTGACCCTGGCCGTGACGGCCCCCCTCACAGTGTGTGTGTGGGTTGTAGTGACCCTGGCCGTGACGGACCCTCTCACGGTGTGTTTGGTTTGCAGTGAACTTTGAGGCACTGATCATCACCATGTCTGTTTTGGGGGGCGCCATCCTGCTGGGTGTTGCCGTCTGCTGCTGCTGCTGCTGCCGGAGGAAGAGGAGTCGGAAGCCGGACAAGAGCGACGAGAGGGCCATGAGGGAGCGGGAAGAGAGGCGGATCCGCCAGGAGGAGAGGTGAGGGACCGTCCTGGGGCGGCGGGCCTGCGGGGTCGTGGAGGTCCCTGTCCCTGAAAGCAAAGGCACTGCTTGGGGTTGCCAGGATTCCTTCTGTGCAGAGAAGGAGACGGACAGCCCCGTGAGTCTGTGTGTGCGCCCCGGCCTGGTCACAGATGGCCCCGCCGGGTAGTCAGGCTGCCGACGGCTGTTAATCCAGGAGGCAGGGCGGAGTCATGTCGTCACCACCACCGAGCAGGGTGCATGAGGTGCTGTTTCTTGGAGTCAGCTGGCTGGCCTGCCAAGCCTCCTCCTTGCCAGGGCTGGCTCAGGGACCAGTGAGCTTTCCTAAGTAGGAGAGCTTTTCAGAGTTAACAGTGCACCAGGCAGGAGTGTGCTGCTTCTCTGGTGCCCACATCAGACCCAGTGCCCGCATCAGACCTGGTGCCTGCTGGCGTCCTGCTGCTGTACTTGCCGTCCAGCCTCCTGAAGGTCTCAGAGGATGGCCTTGACACAGGGCCTGCGTGGAGAGTCACGCTCCTGAGTTCTTCCTGTGCCAGTACTGGCTGGTGGGAGTATCTGGACAGTGAGGGATCAGCTGGTGGGAGTATCTGGACAGAGGGATCAGCTGGTGGGAGTATCTGGACAGAGGGATCGGCTGTGGGAGTATCTGGACAGTGAGGGATCAGCTGTGGGAGTATCTGGGAGTATCTGGACAGTGAGGGATAGCAGACACAAACATCTCTCTGTTGCTCAGACTTTGAATCTTTTTTAAAGTTTGGTTAATTTTATTTGGAAAGTCCTGGCTGCTGGAGAAGGAGAGACAGAAATCCTTCCACGTGCTGGTCGCCATGTGGCTGCACAGTCAGAGCTGGATTGGTCAGAAGATGGGAGCAGGTGCTTCTCGGTCTCCCGTGTCAGTGCAGGTCCCAGGACTTGGGCCTCCTCTCTGCTTCCCCAGCCCACGGGCAGGGAGCTGGAGGGCAAGTGGAGCAGCTGGAACTAAGGCCGATGCCCACAGCGGATGCTGGTGCTGGCAGGAGGACTCACAGCACCCTGCTGGCCCTGAGACGAACCTTTTTTCAGTATCAGAGTGTCAGTTGACTTGGTTCATTGGCGAGAAGATGCCGTTGGACCGCCCTGCCTGCTCCCCCTTGGGCGCGTGCTGGGCAGCAGGGAAGCCACCAGAAGCGGAAGCTTGTGCCGCAGCTGCTGACAGCCCCCTGTGCCTCGTGGTTTGCCACATGGTGTCTCCTTTTGCTTTTTAGGAGAGCGGAGATGAAGTCAAGACATGATGAAATCCGGAAAAAATACGGTAAGGACTGTGTGTCTTCCTGCTGGGTGGCAGTTGCCACCATGCCGTCCTGGTCCTGTCGGTGCCGAGGGAGTGTGGACGGCTGGGATGGGTGGGCTTCCTTCTGGGCGCTGGGGGCTTCCTCCTCAGCGGAGGGGAGATTGTCTCTTGTGAGAAAGGCGGCCGTGCACTCGGGCCGGGCCGTCCTGTACTTAGTCTGCTGAGAGCCTTGAGGTGTTGTCTCTATCAGAATCCTTGAGGGAAAGCTTGTTTGGTTGGACATGTATTTGTCTTCTGTGTATAGCAGACTTCTGGAATGATCCGCCTTGCTGCTGAGTCCCTGGACTCCAGCTCTGGCTTGCCCTCAGCCCCGTGCACCTGCGCTGTCCTGTCGGTGACACTGCGGGGGTCCTTCCTCCTGACCCGTGGTACCTCACTGTCAGGGGTGTGTGTGAAAGTCCCCGTAGAGGCACGCGTCCGGGCAGACACAGTGTGTTCGTAATTGTTTACCATTTTGCAAATTGTTTACGTATTCATTTGAAAAGCACACACATCTTCCCCAAATGGCTGCAGCAGGCCAAGGTCAGGAGCCAGGAGTTCCGTCAGGTCCCCTCGGTGTGGCCAGAGCTTTCTGCTGCCTGCCTAGGTGCACTCGCAGTAGTACGGCTCCAGAGGGATGCAGCCAGGACTGGCACCTGCTCCGCATGCTGGCGTTGCAGCTGGCAGCTCAACCCCTGCACCACCAGCCCTGGGGCCAGAGTCGGTGCCTGGATCCACGTCGCAGCTGCGTCCCAGGTTCTGGCTTCCAGCTAGCGTGTGTCCTGGGGGGGGCTGCAGGATATGACATCAGCGCTTGGCTCCATGCCACCCACATGGAATGCTGGAGTCCAGCTCAGCTGAGTTCGGAACTCGCGAAGGGTGCGTGGATGAGGCGCAAAGAGGAAAGAAAGACGAACCACTAGGATTTCATGATCATAATGGACCATGCGGGAAAGCTGTCCGCTTTATTTATACAAAATCAGTCAAACTCTGGCTCAGACTCTTTACGTTGTGGTCAAGTGGGTGTTTCTAAAGATAACTCTGCCAGTTGTCTCACCTAAGGCTAGGATGTTATCCACCTGGCGCCTGGCACCTGGCTAGGAAAAAGTTCTCAATAGATGGTGCATCAATCAGTAACACATTCCTACCACAATCCTCATTCTACAGCTTAGTCTTGAGTTAATCAAGGAAGGAAAGACTTCACAGAAGGAAGGACCTAAAGATCAAAGAAGGAGGGAAAGAATAGGTTCCCACTGCACCTGGGGACTTTACACCCTTGCTTAGTATATGATCAATGGGGGAGGGAAAACCCTAAGCCCTTTGGCTAAAACAGTATGGCGACATCAACTTCCAAGCTCACACTGGCAGTAAACATTAACTCCGCAGAGGCAGACAATGCATAAAGAGATTATAGAATTCTCAGCGGGGTTGTCCAGTGTCCATGCACAGGGAGGTGGAGCTGCATTCAGGCCGTTGGGAAGTTCCTTGCGGCCCTGCCTGCAGTGGAACAATGCTCTTCACACCTTCCTGTCTTCCACACCCATCACACGGACCTCAGCAATGGAAGACCTGCTTTGGCTTCCCAGCGCCTGGCTCAGCCTTGGCCACGCAGGCATTCAGGGGGTGACCCAGCGGATGGGAGTGCTCGGCTCTGTCAGAAAAAGAAAGAAAAGCAGAATTGAACTTTCGCTCTGTGTTTGCCCTCACAGTGTGGGCAAGGCTCTAGCAGAGTCGGTGTGCTGTACCGATGGGTGCGTGTCCTACTCCACCTGTCACAGTGAATCCAACCTTTGAGTCGCGTGCTGCGTCTGCCATGGTGTGCTGTCTTGTGGCAGAGCCACATTGGCAAGCCCCGGGTGTGTAGAAGAATTCCTGCTGGGGACAGCTCATAGAGCAATAGCCTTTGTTCTGTTGCAGAACGGTCTCCCTGCTCCCCTTAAGCCCCACACAGATGGCTGCCACTCATGTTAGGCCGTGGTGTCTGCCCAGTTCTAACTGCACCTGCCTTGACACATGAGAAAGCCACAGTCCCTCCCACGTGCTCCTTCTCTGTCACCTCTGCTGCTCTGAGTCCCCTCCTGCACCTCCATGCCGTGGGAACCGCCAGTGAGGCTGGTGCAGAGCCTCCACGCAGTGGAAGACGAGCCGTGAGCTGTGCGTTGCCCAGGTCCTCGGCGAGCGCCAGAGCCGTGTGCACAGTGCAGTCGTGATGTGCACAAGTTAAATCACAGCATGAGCCAGTCCTGGTTGCGTCACAGCATACACACCTTCCATGTTAGTGCTGGTTAGGTCACAGCACGTGTGAGCTCCCTGTGTGTGTTACAGCATGTGTGAGCTCCCTGTGTATGTGTTACAGCACGTGTGAGCTCCCTGTGTGTGTGTTACGTCACAGCATGTGTGAGCTCCCTGTGTATGTGTTACTGCACAGCACGTGTGAGCTCCCAGTGTGTGTTACGTCACAGCACGTGTGAGCTCCCTGTGTGTTATGTCACAGCACAGCATAGCATGTGTGAGCTCCCTGTGTGTGTGTCACAGCACAGCACGTGTGAGCTCCCTGTGTGTGTTACAGCACAGCACGTGTGAGCTCCCTGTGTGTGTTACGTCACAGCACGTGTGAGCTCCCTGTGTGTGTTACAGCACGTGTGAGCTCCCTGTGTGTGTGTTACAGCACGTGTGAGCTCCCTGTGTGTGTGTTACAGCACGTGTGAGCTCCCTGTGTGTTACAGCATGTGTGAGCTCCCTGTGTGTGTGTGTGTTACAGCACGTGTGAGCTCCCTGTGTGTGTTACAGCACGTGTGAGCTCCCTGTGTGTGTGTTACAGCACGTATGAGCTCCCGGTGTGTGTTACGTTACAGCACAGCACGTGTGAGCTCCCTGTGTGTGTGTTACGTCACAGCACGTGAAGCTCCCTGTGTGTGTTACAGCACGTGTAGCTCCCTGGCGCCCTGTGGCCGTCGTGCTGGCGGTAGATGGCCCATGGCCCTCCGTCCCTGCCGGTTCTGTCCTCTTCTCCGTGACAGTAACTCGCCACTTTGCAAAGCAATGCTTGATTTCTGTGTCTTCATTTCTCTTGACGAGCCTCAGCCGGGGCACAGTGCTTGGCCTCGTATCCCAGCGCGTTTGGCTCCTGTGCTCACAGCCGCGTCCCGGGCAGGAGGCTGCGGACTGGAGCCTGCTTGCTGCACGTGCTTTTCCTACAGCCTCGAGTTCCTCCGGTTAAGGCAGTTGTCACCTTGAGCCGTCTCTGGTTTCATGAGTCCGTTTGTAATTCAGGTTCATTTATTTTCAGGTTTGTTTAAAGAAGAGAACCCATATGCCAGATTTGAAAACAACTAAAACACTTTGACGCCGGCCAGCCTCGGGATGCTGTGTCTGAGTGCCCCTCGGCCCTGGGCAGCGGGCTCAGCTGCCTCGTCCTGTCTCCTGACCTCGGCGACAGATGGCTTGTCCCCTGGTGGCCCAGGCAGGAGCTGCACTCAAACGACAATCCTGCCCCTGCCCTCTGATGTTGCTTTCTGTTCCTTTCACCGAGACCGCTGACCGCTGGGCGCCCACCTTTCTGTCGGGGAAGTGGGCGTACTCCTGTCACTGTGGGCTGTGCGGGGCCCTCAGCAGCCCCTTCTCGGCCACGCGTGCCCAGTCAGGGCCGCCCTGCTGTGTTAGAAACAGGAGCCGATGCAGCGTCCCCTCCTGAGCTCGGCTGAGCCGGGAGCTGTAAGCACTCCTTCACATGGCCTGGAGAGAGAGAGTATGTGTGTGTTAATTCTTGAACTTTCTCTTCTCACCTAAAACATTTCACCACAAAGGTTTTCGTGTAAAAAGGTCAGATAGCTAGTTGGAAGACGTTTGTGGTTGAGATTGTCAGTAAACCGCGAATCTGTGCCCACAGCCATGTGGTGATGCCCCCAGCCTGCCCTCAGCCCCCACGTGGGGCTGGCGTGTGGGCGCACACCGTCTGTCCCCGTCCGTCCTGTCTGGGGGACGGTATTACTGTCCCAGGCAGCGCTCCGGGCCCGTCCTGCCCTGCCACCCCCAGCCGGCCACACCGCGCCCAGCTCGCATCCTGTCGGGCCATGGCTGATGCATTGCTGAGTGGGGGGGAGCTGGGGTCGTGCCCTGATAGGGCGGGGGCCCCTGAGCCCCCCCACCGGGCACCTGTCCTCGAGCCCTTGGGGACTCACCTGCTGGGCATGGCGGCACACGAGTGGGCATTTCTGTATCACATTCTCATACAAGGGAAGCAACTTTGAATTATTTTTTTCCCAGAACTGAATTCTTTAGTCTGTCTTCCCTGACTTCCTGGGCGATTGAGCACAGCTTTGCCAGGTGTCTTAGGAGCAGCGCCGTTGTGTCTGACTGCGTCACAGCGGCCCGGAAGACACTGCTGTGGCTGACAAAGTCCCCTTCCTGACCGCACGGCACTGAGCTCCGAGAGGAGCCTCCCCGTCACACAGTGTCGCTAGCCCTCTCACATGCCACCCCACCATGCTTCATCTGTGAGCTGGCACTGCGCGCAGCCACAGAAGTGTAACCTCAACAAACCATGCCACTTGGAGTGCCTTACTTTGTAACCAGTTTCCAATAAAATGATTTAATACACTTTCACTTAGGACAGTGTGTGTTCCTTCTGTCCAGCTGCCCCCTCGCTGTGCCCTGTGGTTGTAAGGGTGCTGGGCAAACTTGGGCACCAGAGCCGTGGGGAGAGTGTATGCAGTCAGGGCCACAGGGATGCCCTCCATGTGCCCCTGGCCTGGTGGGGGACCATCACTGTCTACGCTTGGACACCAGACCCGCCTGGGTGCTTCTGAATTGGCACTGCGCACAGCGGGAGCTCGCTGCCTTCACCCCTGCTTGGACACACAAGCTGGTGGGCGCTGCGCACAGCGGGAGCTCGCTGCCTTCACCCCTGCTTGGACACACAAGCTGGTGGGCGCTGTGCACAGCGGGAGCTCGCTGCCTTCACCCCTGCTTGGACACACAAGCTGGTGGGCGCTGCGCACAGCGGGAGCTCGCTGCCTTCACACCTGCTTGGACACGCAAGCCCGTGTGCCTTCTCTACTTCACCCTAGAGCCTGTCTGGTTCCTGGGGAGGCTGCCCGCTGCTTCCGGGTGCCCTTCTGTGTGATGTGACTGCTTCCCTGAGCTGGGAGGCACGGGGCCTGTGAGTTGAGGACAGAAGTCACCAGTGACCTGGGCAGGGTTGATGTGAGTCAGTGCCCATGAGGCCTGGCTCCCTGGCAGATGCAGGGAGGCTGTGCCCGCCCGCCCTCCAGGGGAGGGTCTCGGGACGTTCCCGTGCACAGACAGGACTGTGTAGACTGAGTCCGGGGATGGAGTCACCCAGGGCTCGGACAGTTTTGGCATGTGCTGGGGACAGAGGAGCAGCCTGCCTTCAGCTCCCAGGTGGGACCAGCATGGGCACTGGTGGCACAGCGGGCTGACGCCCTGTGGCAGGCAGCGCCGTGGGGTCTTGGGGCACAGCGGGCTGACGCCCGTGGCAGGCAGCAGCGTGGGGTCTTGGGACACAGCGGGCTGACGCCCTGTGGCAGGCAGTGCCATGGGGTCAGAGGGCACAGCGGGCTGACGCTTGTGGTAGGCAGTGCCATGGGGTCTTGGGGCACAGCGGGCTGACACCCGTGGCAGGCAGCGCCGTGGGGTCAGAGGGCACAGCGGGCTGACGCCCGTGGCAGGCAGCGCCGTGGGGTCTTGGGGCACAGCGGGCTGACACCCGTGGCAGGCAGCGCCGTGGGGTCTTGGGGCAGGACGTGTCAATGGCCCTGTTCCTGGGCCCAGGTGGCACGGAGGATCCTTTGTATCAGCCACAGCAGATCTCTGTGCGCCCCACAGGGAGGCGTGGTGGGCGCCTTTCCCGCCAGCATCTTAGGGCTTCAGTCTGAGCCGGAAGGGCTGTCTGGGGCTGTGCCCCCTCCCCTCAGGACGCCTCCCCCACCTCACTGTGCAGGGCTCGCTCTGACCTGCCCGGTGCCCGGCGGGGCTCTGTGGGCGGGGGAGTGCCTCCTTTGTGTCTCCAGCCCACACTCGGCCTTTGCCGATTTGCTGGGAAGTTCGAATTGTTGCCCCGCTGGACGGCAGCCGTGTCCAGGCGTGTGTGTGACACACAGGCCAGCTGAGGACCTGCAGCTTCCACAGGAGCGTGTGGCTCTGCTGGCTGCTGGAGCGGGCAGGACACGTGCTCTGCCAGCTGCCTGCGTTCCAGAACTGGGCCTCAGCCTCCGTCTGTGACAGGGCGGCAATGACACCTTACCACCCAGCGGGACGCGGGCCTGCCTCACACAGCCGCTCTGCCGTCACTGCTCCTGCACGCGCATTGTTACCAATCTGTGACCTTGGCTGATTTTTCCTTGTATTGCTTTTTCTCGCAGTGATTTAAAAACTCTTTGTTTTCTTGGGTTAGTCCCAAGAATCAAATATAGAACTGTATATATGTGTGTGTGTGTGTATATATGTGTGTGTATATAAACTATTTCCATTGAAATAAGGTGTCAGCGCGGGGAAGTGCACACCCCGCAGGACGCGACCGTGTGTGTCTAAGTGCTCATTATCTGGGACATGGTTGACTGCTGAAGACCCACTTGCTCGCCCGCCTCCCAGAGCCCGGTGCCCGCACCCGCCTCCCAGAGCCCGGTGCCCGTGCCCGCCTCCCAGAGCCCGGTGCCCGTGCCTGCCTCCCAGAGCCCAGTGCCCGCGCCAGCCTCCCAGAGCCCGGTGCCCGCGCCCGCCTCCCAGAGCCTGGTGCCCGTGCCCGCCTCCCAGAGCTCAGTACCTGTGCCCGCCTCCCAGAGACCGGTGCCCGCTCCTGCCTCCCAGAGCCCGGTGCCCGCGCCCGCCTCCCAGAGCTCAGTGCCCGGGTGGGATTCCCTCAGTTCTCAAGTGCAGCTTCCTGCTGAGGCACACTCTGGGGGCGGCAGGTAAAGCCTGCAGTGCCTGGTTCCCGTACTCACCCAGGAGCCCCAGCCGGCGTGAGCATTCAGGAAGTGGACCAGTGGCTGTCTCTCTTTAAACTCTCATTCTGTCAGCAGACACTGGTGCCCGTATCTTCAGTTTCACCTTGAACTGTAGTACGCTCTCACTTTTTCTTTCCCTCACTTTGTCCCCGAACCACCTGTCAGACTTCAGGGTTTATTGTTGTTGTTGTTATTATTATTATTATTAATATTTTGTTTGAAAGGCAGAGTAATGAAGAGGAAGAGAGACACAAAGAGATTGTCCACTTGCTGGTTCATTCCCCAGGTGCCACCCACATCTGGGCTGGAACAGGTTCCTGTGTGAGCAGGAGGGACACTTGCTAGGGGGTATGGGTGTCCCCAGCAGTGGCTGAACCCACGGCTCCACAATGCCTGTCCACGACACATATCCCGAAGTGTCTAGCATTCCGCATCGGCTTGGCTGGTTGCCTGGCTCCCTGTCCCCTCCAGGCATCGGTCACATTGTGGTTGAGAATGAGTGGCACCCTGGGGCTGTGGCTGCGACCTACTCAGCCTGTCTGAGCTCCACCTGCCTTCCTGTGGTGACTCAGCCTGACGCGATGGAAAGGGTGTCGCTGTCACCTTGGCCTTCAGGTAACCCTGAGGTCACCCCACTCCCTGGGAGAGGATATACAAAGTTGCTAATACAACCTTCACTTGTGTTGAAAGCAGCCCCGGCATCTGATCTGGAGCTGAAACGTTTGTGGGACAGTCCAGTGCCAATGGCTGCCCTTGTTCAGCCCATTGTGTAACCTCCCCACTACGGTCTGCAAGTCCCTGCACCACATCACACAAGTGTCAGATGAAGGTGTGACTCGGTCTCCTGTGCCAGGGAGCAAGTCCCTGAGGGTCCTTCCGATGAGTGTCCGTGGAGGGAGACGCCGGGCGACGCCTGAGACAGGTCTGCGTGTGCCTGGGTCCCGTGGTGCTCAGCCCCCTCCGCCTTGGACTATCACTGCCACTTGTTTTACTTCTGTGTTTAGAACTGCAGAAGACACTCTGTTGTTTTACATAGTCAATATTCATTTAGATTTACTCATGTTCACATGCTTTTTGAGACTTATCCATTTTTATTTGAGAGGCAGAGAAGAAAAGAGAGAGACCTTCCATCGCTTGGGTCACTCCCAAGGTGGCCACAATGGCTGGTCTAAAGCCAGGAGCCTCCTCCAGGTTTCCCACAGGGATGCCGGAGCCCAGGCACTTGGGCCGTCTACACTGCTTTCCAAGGCCGTGAGCAGGGCTGGATGGGAAGTGGGGTAGCTGGGGCTTGAACGCTGCAGGTAGGGCATTAGTCTGCCACACCACAGAGCTGGCCACATGCATGCTTTGTTCCTGTCTGTGTGCCCTGGACATGGCATGTGTCTCCCTAAGGTCCCTGTGCTGACGGTCCCGGGGGGTGCTGCGGGGGTGGACTCGGGCCAGGCGAGCGGGTTGCCAGGGTTAGGGTTGGGAGTTGAGAGGAGTGAGTTCACACAGGAATAGCTGTTCTATTGAGACACATGCCCGACTCTGTGCCATCTGCAGTGCTGTGCTTGGCCAAGCGCCCTCACCGGAGCAAGGCTGTGCTCTCAAACCCTTAGAACCGTGAGCTGTGCTAAATAAACCAACCACTTTTCCTTGTGAAGTCTCGAGCCCCGGTGACAGAGCAGCTGAGCCTGGGCACGGGTCCTTGTTGCCACCTCAGAATGGTTTCTCCACTGGAGAGATGTTTTCTGGCAACCGATGAGCTAGCGTTTTCTTTTTGTTTGTTTAATTTTTGCTTTTCCACAGAATTTTATTGGAAACATTGCCACATGTGAGCAGTTCTGTTTTTGAGGGGGGTGGTGTTTTGTTGTTAAGCAAAGTTGCAAAGTTTGAAGAACTTGATGGGCCAGGCGGGTCGCTCAGTCTGTCTCCAGACTGGAGCTTTTATGGCTAAGGTGGAGGGGTGTCCACACTGGCCCTCCATTTTCCCTTGCCCCTCTCCCTTTCTGTAATATTGTTGAGTGGCAGTCTTGGTGGGCTTAGAATTCCTGAAAATCCCCCACCCCCAACTATATCAGTGCAGTGTTACCATACCTGATGGCCCCCTATGTGTAGCCCCCCGGGAGGGGGTTGAATGTACCCCACAAGGCTTCCAGTGCGGACCTGGCTAACGAGGGTATGTGAGGGTAGCACTGTGGCTGGGTGGTCTCCTGCCCCATGTCCTTGGATGTTCCCAGTGGTGGCCTGGAGAAGGACGGCCCTGCACAGGCCAGAGGCTCAGTCATGTCACGACTGAACAGGCCGGAAGCTCTGCCGCAGCCACATGGATCTGGGCGGCCGGTGTTGTGTCACAGGTGAAACAGACGAGGAGACATGACGGTTATGTGTTCCAGAAAGAAGCAGGGGCGGATGGGAGCGATGGGGCCAAGAGAGGCACCTGCCAGGATGTCCACGGCCCAGGGTATGCCGGACTTTCCATCCCTGCATGGCTGGTCCTGGACCTGCCTGGCCTTCTCTGGGAAATCATGACAATCACGCCTGTGCCCCTTAGAGACGGGTTCTCTCAGTCCTCTGCAAGGTCCTGTGTGGGGGTGCGGGACTGTCTGTAACTCCAAGTGGCTGCTACTTTATGCCATTTAAGGGAGAATAGGGCTA